ATTTTGTCTCCACCGTGAGTTCCGCATTATTTCACTTGTACAAAACATTGATCTAATGAGGTGTGCTCATTATTTCTGTAATTTTCTCAAAATTGTTTTCATCTGCTTGTATTTTGTTTTAAAGGATAGGTGGGTTTGTTTACAACCATACAAAAATGAGCAGCACATACCATCGGGTTAATGTGTTTGGGGCACCCTGTACTCAACAAATTGTTTATTGTAAATTTGGTTAGAAATTGAGTGTTCCCAGTATTGAGTTGTGGGAATAACCTCTACAATATATTCTGGACTTTTTTGCATTGTTATCATTTCTGTAAAATTTAATTTCTGCACGTTTAAGAATCCTTGGACATAGTTTATTTTTCTACATTTGTTTGATATATAGTTTTCTAAGAAATTCTAAAACTTTGGCTGTGTTTAACTCGTGATTTTTATTTGTTTTTCCAAATACCCCAAAATTTGTTCGCGTATCATAGGTTACTTTTAATTGCATTTTTAGTGCTTAACATTAATTAACAATCTAATCAAAATATTGATTATTATGATTTTTATGCAGTTGTGAAAACTATCTTAACAACGGGCTTTTATGTCTACTTTTGTTATGTTATTTAAATTGTCAAATAGAAATTTGATGAAACTTAATAAAATTTGTAATCTGCTCATAGAGCTCATTTCTGTTATTGATTACTCTTTTAGATATTAATTGTACAAATAAGCCTTCTATTCTCTCTGACTTACATATTCTTGTGACTCACTCCTTTGATTCGAAATTAATGAGGTTAATGAATACAGATGGAATTAATTAAGTATAAGACAGACTATAACAATCCTTTTAACTAAATATTGTTTTCTAGGATAATGTTATTCCCTCTGATGATAACTAAAGAATGGAACCTGGTTCAGCATGACATCACCACTTCTCAGGAGTTTACTGCATCGCTCCAACGTGAGTGGAAGGTTCGGCACTATTTTAGCCGATGGTTTGAGGACAACTTGTCTGAGGCCATCGTGAATCTTGATTTGACAAAGGAGGACTACTGCATGGAACTTTACTACTGCATGGAACTTTACAAACATTGGAAAGAGTTGGAAGAGAGCGGAGAAAAGCTGGTGGACTCACTACTGAGGGTGTTACAGGAAACTTTCCTAGACATTGTGTCGGATTTGAGGGTACGTAACTTTATTATAATCTATATTCTGTAATAATTGTAGATTCTTGTATTTGTATTTAACTTGTAGGTTCACCAATTGTTGCTACCCAGTAAATTGCTTGTTATAATTATTCGCCAAATACATCCGTTCATGACGTAAACTATTCCAAACCATAAACAATAAAATATCAACTTCCTCACAATATGCACCATTTCAGGACCCGGATTTGGAGTTCCTTCCTCTGGATACAGTTGACTACCCCACACCCCCCCCCCCCCACACACACACCCCCCCCCCCCCCCCCCCCCACACTCCCCCCCACACACTCCCCCCCCCCCACACTCCCCCCCCCCCCCCACACTCCACCCCACACTCCCCACACTCCCACACTCCGAACATTTCTCATAGATTTCACCAACATCCACTCTCGAACCTTGAACACCAGATTCGAATGTTCTTGAATCTACGGGCTCGTAAGAGCTACCATCTTTAATTAAAGAGGGACAGTTCACTGTTTTCAGATTAATTTGTTAATTATGTAGTTATTTGTAAGTTGGTTTCATGTCGTATCGGTACGAAGAGGGTCAAGATTACCATTGTTTGTCAAAATGACTATTGTTTGTTGCTTCAGATTTGTCCAGGATTTGTGTTGCTCCTTTTTTAACAGTCGATTATGAAAATTTCGTACGAGCCAGTTACTGGTTGTACAACCTTTTAATTTTTATAATTTGCAGAGGATCATTGATATTGAAGCAGTAGGCATGTCAGAAGTCCAAAATTCTACAAAATTTTGACCCTATCTGACATTTTTAGAGTCATTTACTAAAAATGTCTATTTCTTTAAAGTGTAGTTGAATTCTGATCTTCAATGCAGGCCCCATACCAGTCCTCTTTTTTATACAGGTTCAAAAGTAAATTATTATTATCAAATTTATTCCATTTTATATGACTAATTTTTACCAATTTTTATGGAATTTGTTTACCATTTCAACAAGTTTCTTTCTATTATTAAACCTGACTCCATTGTCGCAACCACATGATCATTATTATTGGTTCAGTAATGTCCAAAACCCCGATTTACCACAAACCCCGATTTACCGCGGCGTTTTACCTTTCTCCCAAACTCCTCGATAAATCGGGGTATTACTGTATTTAAATTCTATCACAAGCTTGTACCTGTTATGATCGTATCTTAAAATCACCAGTTTTTATTTCACTATAATTTCGCCTCCATATTTTGAAAACCTATCCCCCTTTTCTTATTGCAACACTGAAATTGTTTCTACTTAAAACTAAAATCTTAGCAGAATGTCAGTGGTTTATAATGACCGTTTGTTCGTGGGAAATCTCCGCACTAGTATAACAGAGGAGGACGTGGTGACATTCTTAGTAGACCTCCACTATCATCCAGGTCAGTTTCAGTTTCACTATCATCCAGGTCAGTTTCAGTTTCACTATCATCCAGGTCAGTTTCAGTTTCACTATCATCCAGGTCAGTTTCAGTTTCACTTTCATCCAGGTCAGTTTCAGTTTCACTTTCATCCAGGTCAGTTTCAGTTTCACTTTTATCCAGGTCAGTTTCAGTTTCACTATCATCCAGGTCAGTTTCAGTTTCACTTTTATCCAGGTCAGTTTCAGTTTCACTATCATCCAGGTCAGTTTCAGTTTCACTATCATCCAGGTCAGTTTCACTTTCATTCTTATTTGAGGAGAATTGCGCAGAAACAGATCTGCCAGATAGGTGTTAGGCTTATTCGCATTTTTCATATGATTAGTTTAATACTTTAATAGTTGGATTGTCGCCATATGATATAAAATCTTTCAGTTGACGTTAGGATTATTCGAGATAGTAATAACAGATCAAAAGGATACGGATTTGTGGAGATGGAACCATCAGGGAGGGGGAGTATTGAAGTGACTCAAATACTTCAGCAGGTTAGAATTTCGTTTTTAGTTTGAATTTCCCTCTCAGGTAAAGTTGCGGTGGTTTTTGACCAAGGTGATAAGGTCGTCTTTACAAAACATTGAGCCACTTATTGTCGCTATTTGATCAATCTTTTAAATTATTTCCATCTTGTCAGAGGTATTTCAAGTTTGGAGAATCAACTATACTGTTTAAGCCAGCGGTTCGTGCAAGAAAGAAGGTATGAGAGTTCTGTTTATTTATTTGGCGAATTACGTATTTGCGCTTTGATTCTGTCATTAACTTCTTTCCAGATGTTTACAGTTACTTATAATGAATAATGATGCTTTGAAAACGTTCCAAACTTTCAGGGGATTTTCATTCTGCTAACTGTGTACTTTCAGTCTGGTATCTCAGTGACGAAGATAATATCAGTAGCTGACGTCTTTGATCCAGACTCCGAGGAGGTCCACAGTCAGTCTTCAACTAGTTCTCAGAAACTCCAGTCAGATCACAGTCAGTCTTCAACTAGTTCTCAGAAACTCCGGTCAGATCACAGTCAGTCTTCAACTAGTTCTCAGAAACTCCAGTCAGATCACAGTCAGTCTTCAACTAGTTTTCAGAAACTCCAGTCAGATCACAGTCAGTCTTCAACTAGTTTTCAGAAATTCCAGTCAGATCACAGTCAGTCTTCAACTAGTTCTCAGAAACTCCAGTCAGATCACAGTCAGTCTTCAACTAGTTTTCAGAAATTCCAGTCAGATCACAGTCAGTCTTCAACTAGTTCTCAGAAATTCCAGTCAGATCACAGTCAGTCTTCAACTAGTTCTCAGAAACTCCAGTCAGATCACAGTCAGTCTTCAACTAGTTCTCAGAAACTCCAGTCAGATCACAGCCAGTCTTCAACTAGTTCTCAGAAATTCCAGTCAGATCTAAAGATTGATCTTCCTGCAGAGTACTGGAACACCCTTTTTACCTGTCCTACATTACCACAGCACTACTTCTATCTCTCTGTCCGGACATTCATGGTGAGTCATTTAGTGTAATTTCCCTTTCAGAGGTTTAATTCTCTTAACTTTTCCAGAAGGTTAGGAAGGAGGAAACTAACACTCCTTCATCAACATGAACCATATTTCCTTAATGTTCCAGTGAAATAATCTTCACACTTTCACACTCTTTCTCCTATCAGGGAGTTGACGGGAATTACTACCATCACTTTGTGCCCGCTCTGATTCCCAAAACAGATCACCCTTTCTACAAACAACATATCATCCCCTGCATTCCTACTGGATCCTCGGTTACATTCTCTAACTTATCCAACCCTTCATCTCAACCCGGTACCCCTTACTGGAATCAGTGAAGTTACAGTGATGTTGGAAACAGGAATTAAATGACTTTTAACATTAACTTGCATCGCCTCTGGAATTTACCCAGGCAGTTCAAGTGTTTTTAGATTTATTTTTAAATGTATATAAGCATTAAGCAGGATTTTTCACAATTATATTTTTCACGAATGAAACCATTTCGTATTCTTATATATTTTCATTTTGATTTATATTTTTGCTGTTGTATGCTAAGGTATATCTTATTTATTTTATTTAATATTCTCGAGTTTGAATTTAAGGAACATTTGCTAAATCCTACTGACAGTTACCCTTTTGATTATTCATTATTAATTTAAGTTTAACTCTCATGGAAACTTTTTAATCTCAATTATATTTAGAATATTTAATAAATTTCCCAATCGTGTCGTCTCTACTGTTTTCATGACAGTCATATGGTTTTCAAAACTCTACTACCAATGATTGAAATTTAACAAACATCTACTTTTATTCTTTTCAGGTTTACCTCTTGAATCTATCTTGACAACTAAACTGCATATGTTACACAGAAATTTTAGATTTAAAATTCTAAACCATGAACTAACCCAACATTCCTTAGTTTAGCTAACAAGATAATGAGTAACACAGCACCAACCCCGTGTGTTTTATACAAGGACAGAGTGTTCGCTGGTAATCTAACTACTTTCATTGATGAGGAGGACATCCTCACTTTCTTGTGGGAACACGGATTTGCACCAAGTTAGTATTGCACTTGTCGGGGGGGGGGGGGGGGGGGGGGGTACAATAATGTAGCTTTTAGCCGGTACTTTAGAGTTATAACTGGTGACCATGTTAAGTATTGACTTATTGTTTAGTATCCGACTATTGCATGTATTAACTCATATTTCCTACCACTAGAGGATGCTAAGATAATCAGAGATAGAAGGGGAGTGTCCAAAGGTTACGGATTCGTAGACATGAGGAGCGACAAAGAGGGCGAGAACCAAACACAGGAGCTTTTGAAGCGGAGGGCAATGTTCTATGGAGACCAAACTATTATCTTTAAGCCTGCTTACAGAAAATCTCCTTCCTCCCAGGTTTCAGTCTATTTCTGTTTTTATTCTACCATTGGGCGCCATAAATTATAACTAACAACTTTGTACTATTTAATCTTAAGATGTGACCATAACACCGAACTACCCAGCAGTCCCAAGAACTGGTATTTACAAAAGTGATATCCTCCTCGGAACTGTTTGACCCTGAAGCGGAGACTGATGGTTCAGAAGGAACCCCTCCACCCACTCCACCTAACACGTGTCCTTGTTGTGCTTGGCCCTGCGACTCTTTTGCTGGATTATCTCTCGCTTCAACACCGGTTAGTTCTATTTGCATTTAGTTTGACTTTCTTAGATGTTTCGCCAACTTTCAGTCAAATTATTTATTTGTTGAAAGTTGATATTGAAGACATCTCATGCAACATTTTGTGAACTAGTTTCAGCAATATTTAAGTCTGACAGTTAATCCTGTTCTCCAGAGTCAGTACCAACAGAACCAGGCACCTTCCTTTCAGTTCCCTCCTTACTACTTCCCTCTTGTTACCTACCAGCCCTCTTCAACACCTCCTTATTGGAACGCCCCTAACTAAACAGTAACTTTAACCTCCCTTCAGACTGGTTATTTTAATGATAGCCAACATTGTAGATTTATTTTAACCTTCATTTTGCCACGAACCACCGCATCGGTGAAATAAATTCTGTAATTTATCATTTCACTAGAATTTGATGTAGGACAACTTCTAAGTTTCAATAGGACTATCTGCTGGTTAATAGCCGCCTTAGGATTATTCTTTGCTAATGTAACACTAATACAATGATTTGTGTCTCACTTGCCTTTTTGTTCATTTCTAGTATTAGAATTATGATTTCTTTATTTTCATGGTGTATTTCGACTAATTCTAAAATTTACGTTTATTTTATGGTGGGTTTAATTTTATAACACTTAACATTTATTTGATAATTTTCTGGACGAGAACTTTTAAATCGAACATTATAGGTGTCATTACTAAATTTGACGACGGTTTTATGAAACTTATTTAATTCTTCACATTTTTCTAAGTTAAAACCTTCAGGGGACTGCTTAATAACTATTTTATTTGATTGTATGTCGAATAGTTTAAAGTATCAGAAGATTCATGGTTACTATTACATATTACTATTCTTATAATATAGATACATTTATTGAGTAATTTAACAGTATTTTTATATAGATGATTTAGCGGAAGGGTTAACCGTGATTCGTCATAATTTATATTTTTTGCTGTTGTATGCTAAGGCATATCTTATTTATTTTATTTAATATTCTCGAGTTTGAATTTTAGGAACATTTGCTAAATCCTACTGAAAGTCACCCTTTTTATTATTCATTATTAATTTAAGTTTAACTCTCATGGATAAGAATGTTCATGCTTGAACCTTTTTAATCTCAATTGTATTTAGAATATTTAATAAATTTCCAAATCCTGTCGTCTCCACTGTTTCCATGACTATCATATGGTTTTCAATAATCTACCTACCAATGATTGAAATTTACCAAACATCTACTTTTATTCTTTTCAAGTTTACGTCTTGAATGTATCTTGACAACTAAACTGCAAATCTTACTCAGAAGTTTTAGATTTAAAATTCTAAACCATGAGCTAACCCAACATTCCTTAGTTTAGCTAACAAGATAATGAGTAACACAGCACCAACCCCGTGTGTTTTGTACAAGGACAGAGTGTTCGCTGGTAATCTAACTACTCTCATTGATGAGGAGGACATCCTCACTTTCCTGTGGGAACACGGATTTGCACCAAGTTAGTATTGCATTTGTCGGGGGGGGGGGTACAATAATGTAGCTTTTAGCCGGTACTTTAGAGTTATAACTGGTGACCATGTTAAGTATTGACTTATTGTTTAGTACCCGACTATTGCATGTATTAACTCATATTTCCTACCACTAGAGGACGCTAAGATAATCAGAGATAGAAGGGGAGTGTCCAAAGGTTACGGATTCGTAGACATGAGGAGCGACAAAGAGGGCGAGAACCAAACACAGGAGCTTTTGAAGCGGAGGACAATGTTCTATGGAGACCAAACCATTATCTTTAAGCCTGCTTACAGAAAATCTCCTTTCTCCCAGGTTTCAGTCTATTTCAGTTTCTACTTTTCAGTTTTATTCTACCATTGGGCGCCAGAAATTATAACTAACAACTTTGTACTAAATCTTAAGATGTGACCGTAACACCGAACTACCCAGCAGTCCCAAGAACTGGTATTTACAAAAGTGATATCCTCCTCGGAACTGTTTGACCCTGAAGCGGAGACTGATGGTTCAGAAGGAACCCCTCCACCCACTCCACCTAACAAGTGTCCTTGTTGTGCTTGGCCCTGCGACTCTTTTGCTGGATTATCTCTCGCTTCAACACCGGTTAGTTCTATTTGCATTTAGTTTGACTTTCTTAGATGTTTCGCCAACTTTCAGTCAAATTATTTATTTGTTGAAAGTTGATATTGAAGACATCTCATGCAACATTTTGTGAACTAGTTTCAGCAATATTTAAGTCTGACAGTTAATCCTGTTCTCCAGAGTCAGTACCAACAGAACCAGGCACCTTCCTTTCAGTTCTCCTCCTTACTACTTCCCTCTTGTTACCTACCAGCCCTCTTCAACACCTCCTTATTGGAACGCCCCTAACTAAACAGTAACTTTAACCTCCCTTCAGACTGGTTATTTTAATGATAGCCAACATTGTAGATTTATTTTAACCTTCATTTTGCCACGAACCACCGCATCGGTGAAATAAATTCTGTAATTTATCATTTCACTAGAATTTGATGTAGGACAACTTCTAAGTTTCAATAGGACTATCTGCTGGTTAATAGCCGCCTTAGGATTATTCTTTGCTAATGTAACACTAATACAATGATTTGTGTCTCACTTGCCTTTTTGTTCATTTCTAGTATTAGAATTATGATTTCTTTATTTTCATGGTGTATTTCGACTAATTCTAAAATTTACGTTTATTTTATGGTGGGTTTAATTTTATAACACTTAACATTTATTTGATAATTTTCTGGACGAGAACTTTTAAATCGAACATTATAGGTGTCATTACTAAATTTGACGACGGTTTTATGAAACTTATTTAATTCTTCACATTTTTCTAAGTTAAAACCTTCAGGGGACTGCTTAATAACTATTTTATTTGATTGTATGTCGAATAGTTTAAAGTATCAGAAGATTCATGGTTACTATTACATATTACTATTCTTATAATATAGATACATTTATTGAGTAATTTAACAGTATTTTTATATAGATGATTTAGCGGAAGGGTTAACCGTGATTCGTCATAATTTATATTTTTTGCTGTTGTATGCTAAGGCATATCTTATTTATTTTATTTAATATTCTCGAGTTTGAATTTTAGGAACATTTGCTAAATCCTACTGAAAGTCACCCTTTTTATTATTCATTATTAATTTAAGTTTAACTCTCATGGATAAGAATGTTCATGCTTGAACCTTTTTAATCTCAATTGTATTTAGAATATTTAATAAATTTCCAAATCCTGTCGTCTCCACTGTTTCCATGACTATCATATGGTTTTCAATAATCTACCTACCAATGATTGAAATTTACCAAACATCTACTTTTATTCTTTTCAAGTTTACGTCTTGAATGTATCTTGACAACTAAACTGCAAATCTTACTCAGAAGTTTTAGATTTAAAATTCTAAACCATGAGCTAACCCAACATTCCTTAGTTTAGCTAACAAGATAATGAGTAACACAGCACCAACCCCGTGTGTTTTGTACAAGGACAGAGTGTTCGCTGGTAATCTAACTACTCTCATTGATGAGGAGGACATCCTAACTTTCCTGTGGGAACACGGATTTGCACCAAGTTAGTATTGCATTTGTCGGGGGGGGGGTACAATAATGTAGCTTTTAGCCGGTACTTTAGAGTTATAACTGGTGACCATGTTAAGTATTGACTTATTGTTTAGTACCCGACTATTGCATGTATTAACTCATATTTCCTACCACTAGAGGACGCTAAGATAATCAGAGATAGAAGGGGAGTGTCCAAAGGTTACGGATTCGTAGACATGAGGAGCGACAAAGAGGGCGAGAACCAAACACAGGAGCTTTTGAAGCGGAGGACAATGTTCTATGGAGACCAAACCATTATCTTTAAGCCTGCTTACAGAAAATCTCCTTTCTCCCAGGTTTCAGTCTATTTCAGTTTCTACTTTTCAGTTTTTATTCTACCATTGGGCGCCAGAAATTATAACTAACAACTTTGTACTAAATCTTAAGATGTGACCGTAACACCGAACTACCCAGCAGTCCCAAGAACTGGTATTTACAAAAGTGATATCCTCCTCGGAACTGTTTGACCCTGAAGCGGAGACTGATGGTTCAGAAGGAACCCCTCCACCCACTCCACCTAACAAGTGTCCTTGTTGTGCTTGGCCCTGCGACTCTTTTGCTGGGTTATCTCTCGCTTCAACACCGGTTAGTTCTATTTGCATTTAGTTTGACTTTCTTAGATGTTTCGCCAACTTTCAGTTAAATTATTTATTTGTTGGAAGTTGATATTGAAGACATCTCATGCAACATTTTGTGAACTAGTTTCAGCAATATTTAAGTCTGACAGTTAATCCTGTTCTCCAGAGTCAGTACCAACAGAACCAGGCACCTCCCTTTCCGTTCTCTCCTTACTACTTCCCTCTTGTTACCTACCAGCCCTCTTCAACACCTCCTTATTGGAACGCTCCAAACTAAACAGTAACTTTAACCTCCCTTCAGACTGGTTATTTTAATGATAGCCAACATTGTAGATTTATTTTAACCTTGATTTTGCTACGGACCACCGCATCGGTGAACTAAATTCTGTAATTTATCATTTCACTAGAATTTGATATAGGACTAGCGTCTAGCTGCTGGTTAATAGCCGCCTTGAGATTATTCTTTGCTAATGTAACACTAATACAATGATTTGTGTCTCACTTGCCTTTTTGTTCATTTCTAGTATTAGAATTATGATTTCTTTATTTTCATGGTGTATTTCGACTAATTCTATAATTTACGTTTATTTTATGGTGGGTTTAATTTTATAACACTTAACATTTATTTGATCATTTTCTGGACGAGAACTTTTAAATCGAACATTATAGGTGTCATTACTAAATTTGACGACGGTTTTATGAAACTTATTTAATTCTTCACATTTTTCTAAGTTAAAACCTTCAGGGGACTGCTTAATAACTATTTTATTTGATTGTATGTCGAATAGTTTAAAGTATCAGAAGATTCATGGTTACTATTACATATTACTATTCTTATAATATAGATACATTTATTGAGTAATTTAACAGTATTTTTATATAGATGATTTAGCGGAAGGGTTAACCGTGATTCGTCATTTATATTTTTTGCTGTTGTATGCTAAGGCATATCTTATTCATTTTATTAAATATTCTCAAGTTTGAATTTTAGGAACATTTGCTAAATCCTACTGAAAGTCACCCTTTTTATTATTCATTATTAATTTAAGTTTAACTCTCATGGATAAGAATGTACATGCTTGAAACTTTTTAATCTCAATTGTATTTAGAATATTTAATAAATTTTTCAATCGTGTCGTCTCTACTGTTTCCATGACTATCATATGGTTTTCAATAATCTACCTACCAATGATTGAAATTTACCAAACATCTACTTTTATTCTTTTCAAGTTTACCTCTTGAATCTATCTTGACAACTAAACTGCATATGTTACACAGAAATTTTAGATTTAAAATTCTAAACCATGAGCTAACCCAACATTCCTTAGTTTAGCTAACAAGATAATGAGTAACAGAGCACCAACCCCGTGTGTTTTGTACAAGGACAGAGTGTTCGCTGGTAATCTAACTACTCTCATTGATGAGGAGGACATCCTCACTTTCCTGTGGGAACACGGATTTGTACCAAGTTAGTATTGCACTTGTCGGGGGGGGGGGGGGGTACAATAATGTAGCTTTTAGCCGGTACTTTAGAGTTATAACTGGTGACCATGTTAAGTGTTGACTCATTGTTTAGTATCCGACTATTGCATGTATTAACTCATATTTCCTCCCACTAGAAGACGCTAAGATAATCAGAGATAGAAGGGGAGTGTCCAAAGGTTACGGATTCGTAGACATGAGGAGCGACAAAGAGGGCGAGAACCAAACACAGGAGCTTTTAAAGCGGAGGACGATGTACTATGGAGACCAAACCATTATCTTTAAGCCTGCTTACAGAAAATCTCCCTCCTCCCAGGTTTCAGTCTATTTCGGTTTCTACTTTTCAGTTGTTATTCTACCATTGGGCGCCAGAAATTATAACTTAAAACCTTGTAATATTTAATGTAATAAGAGGTGACCATAACACCGAACTCTCCAGCAGTCCCAAGAACTGGTATTTACAAAAGTTATATCCTCCTCGGAACTGTTTGACCCTGAAGCGGAGACTGATGGTTCAGAGGGAACCCCTCCACCCACTCCACCACCTAACAAGTGTCCTTGTTGTGCTTGGCCCTGCGACTCTTTTGCTGGATTATCTCTCGCTTCAACACCGGTTAGTGCTTTTTGCATTTAGTTTGACTTTCTTAGATGTTTCGCCAACTTTCAGTCAAATTATTAATTTGTTGAAAGTTGATCTTGAAGACATCTCATGCCACGTTTTGGGACTAGTTTCAGCAATATTTAAGTCTGACAATTAATCCTGTTCTCCAGAGTCAGTACCAACAGAACCAGGCACCTTCCTTTCAGTTCTCTCCTCACTACTTCCCTCTCGTTACCTACCAGCCCTCTTCAACACCTCCTTATTGGAACGCCCCTAACTAAACAGTAACTTAAACCTCCCTTCAGACTGGTTATTTTAATGATAGCCAACATTGTAGATTTATTTTGGCCTTGACTTTGCTACGGACCACCGCATCGGTGAACTAGATTCTGTAATTTATCATTTCACTAGAATTTGATATAGGACTAGCGTCTAGCTGCTGGTTAATAGCCGCCTTGAGATTATTCTTAGTTAACACTAATAATATGACTTGTGTCTCACTTGCCTTCGTGTTTATTTCTAGTATTATAATTATTATTTCTGTATTTTCATGGTGTATTTTAACTACTTTTATTTTAAAATTCTATAATTTATGTTTATTTTATGGTGGGTTTAACTTGATAACACCCAGTAAACTTAGCATTTATTTGATAATTTTCTGGACGAGAACTTTTAAATCGAACATAGGTGTCATTACTAAATTTGACGGTCTTATCTTATTTATTTAATTCTTCAAATTTTATTTAAGTTAATCTGCAAGAGAATTGCTAAATAACTATTTTAATTGATTGCATGCCAATTATTTTGAAGAATCTGGAGATTCATGGTTACTATTACATATTACTATCTTAGAATATAGATGCATTTATTGAGTAATTTAACAGTATTTTTATATAGATGATTTAGAGGAAGGGTTAACCGTGATTCGTCATTTACAAATGTCAAGCTTCTGGCATGAATACCAGAAATTTCCAATTCTATCTTTTAGCTCTTGAAAATTTTAAAATGTTTACATCGTCAAAAAACAAAATACATTGTCGACCAAATAAAAAGTTTTCGACATGCCAAAATCAAAATATGAAGAAATTTCGAAATTGTGGTTTCCCGACCTATCATCTTATCTCTTCAAGTCTATTTTAAAGATTATATTCATAAAATCATCCACGTATTCAGCAAATTTATATGTGTTTTACTCTCGTCCACATTATAAATACAAGATAATTTATTAACCAGCTGGTGTCAGTGATAGCCTATATTGTTTTATCGTTAGCGAACCTGAACTCGCACTACCCAGGCTACTTTTCAAAACTAGGAACCAAATTTAGCTAATATGTGCTCATCATGCTCAATTGTTATTTCTCTTAGCTGTAATGATGGAGACGGCTGCAGATTCTACTTCTAATGAAGATAATGGATATATGAACCGTGTGTTCATAGGTAGCTTACGAAAATCGGTAAGAAACCAAACGGGCCCCCCCCCCCCCCCCCAAACGTTGTCATGAAAGTAGTTTTGTTATTTTTTAAATAATTTGAATATTATGTATTAAGAAATATGTTACTAAAAATAGCAGGTTTAATCAGAATATTTAAATACCTGAAGATACTTATTACAAGTTGAATTTTTTTCGCTCTGGCGCAAATTATAAATTCCTCAGATATTTGTACATTCCTCAGATAATGGAGGAACATGTCAGGGGGTTCCTCAAGAGTAAAGGCTACAACGTCGGTATGTTTATTTGTTTAGATTAGTCGTTTTTCTAATTGCTGTGTGTTTCCGACCGGATGATTTATATTGTCACTGTTTACTTACAGTGTATATTGTTTGTAATTTTCCGCCCGTTTTGCTACACAGCAACGCTGATTATTTGAACATGATCAGTGATCACGGACCTAATCTCTGATTGAATTCATCACACCAGAAGATACAGTTTTTCCAGTTATGAGTTTGATTGTCCTCGATTTGTTCGCTTATAATTAGTTTTGAGAACAAGTAAAACTATAAATTCTGGTCCGGGATCCGGGTCTCGGAAAGTGGTAAGAATAAATAGAAAATATTTTTTTTGTGTTTATAAACACAAAAAAAATATAAATGGAATATGTAGTTTTTTGTACTTTTTGGGTTTTTTTCAGTTTTTTTCACCTTTTGTAATAACAACAATAAAAAGTAATAAATAATGTGAAATGCAATTTTGTTTTTTCGTCGTCAGTTTTGCCTCGATCTTCGGAGGAAACTTCAGTCATTTCTCTTTGTGATGTTTGCATAAGCAGCTTATATCAGTTTCCGTAGCGTCCTTGGACTTTAAGTTTCCTTTTTTATTCTCTAAAGACCTCTTCATGTCCTGGTCATGGGGTTCATGTTCATGAATGGAATGAACTGTGGGTTGGTTCCACTGAACAGATCGTCGAAATCTGCCCAGGAAGCCTCAGTTGGCCTCAGCCGTTCTATGGTATCACGGACAAAAGTCTTTAACATCTTTGATGATGCAGTAAGACTGTCTCCCAACGAGGTAGTCCGACTATCGACTGCGTACGCAGCTCTTCGGAAATTCAATTTTCTATTGAAAGAGTTCCTAATCTTCGTTCGGAAACTCTTCTTCCTTCTTCGATTGGGGAGCAAATTAAAGGAAGGCATGTCTTTAGTCTCTTCACAACTTGTGAAGGATTCGGTCCAATTGCAACCAGCATATCCAAGAACCTCTTCTGTATCTTCTCCAATAAATCCTGGAAGAGCGAAGGCGCCATATCTTTCCTCGCGAGAGTTTGATCCGGGAGATAGGGCGGGAACCGAGAAATCGGGTTCGATGTTGATGCATTCAACCTCTGTGATCTCGTAACTAGATCTTTTGTTGGAGAGTGTAGAGAAAACCATTTTAAATGATTTAAAATAGTTGTAGGAGTTGTCTTTTCAAGCGTATGAATGTGGAAATATCAAAATTGATAATTAGCACGTGCGATGTGTCCTATTACAGGGGATTAGTAGGGGATCAATAGGTTACCTAGCAATGTCGCCCACATTCCTAACTAGCCTGCGCAAAGTTATTTTTCAAGATATTCTGAATTAAATTATTATTGGCGCGCGGCGCTGAACCGATCAATTAAATCGTTAATTTCACCATGTGTCGTATCCCACTAGGCACTAATTGCAATTGATAGCATATTATTTCGAGTTAGTATTACTACTTTGCACAGATCCGTGTCACATCAGATAACATAAACTTTGAGGTAGTCCGGACTAAAATTGCACGGAAAATCGATTAAAAGTACCATCACGAAGTGAGAGTCTTCACTCAGTGTGTTAAAACATAATGCTTTGTCGACGTTTCGGCTACATGCCTTTGTCATAGACAGGACGTATTGATAACTAACATAGGTAGCTCAATAAATGTAATAGATTTGTAGTGTTGTAATTAGTTTAAAACAAACAGTTTGTCCATATTCGGAGTACGTATATATTTCACAAACTTACGGGTTCGGACAAGAATTGTCTACGGTCAGCTTTCCGTATCAGTCACATTTTTCGGTCAATTATATTCAGACAAGATTTGTTTTTCAACAAATATCAAATCGGACAAATAATTCTATGGAGTCGAACACTAATATTTATTGCAAAAGCACCAAAACGATGGCGGGTCTGAGCCACCATACACCACAAGAATCAGCTGTTAAAAAGCACTTTAACTGCAGAGATTTGATCAGCCGGTCGCAAGTAATTACGTGCAAGTAATCACGTGCAACAGCTGACGTTTTACTTGATCTGTGGGGGAGCACCCCTGTCACGTGAACAGTTGGTCCCCTGCTCCAAGTTAAAAGTTTTTATATCCACTTTTGATATGAGCGGAACATTATATAAAAGCGGAACATATATTTAAATGCCTGTTTCATTCCCGTTTAATCTTAGAAAGGACAAAGTTCATAACCCTCATAAGAACTACTCAACCGTCTTAAATAAGTCTAAACAGATAAACCCAGAAATCTTACTATAAGTCTAAACAACAAAGTTCCAATTCAGAATTACGTTCAGTTCATTTTATAATCTTAACCTGTCCTCAGAGGATGTGAAGATTATACGAGATGTGAACGGACAGAGTAAAGGATACGGGTTTGTGGATCTGGATAGAAGTGCACGAGGGGAGCTTCAAGCTAATCATCTTCTTAATCAGGTAAAACATTACACGAGGGGAGCTTCAAGCTAAACATCTTCTTAATCAGGTAAAACATTACACGAGGGGAGCTTCAAGCTAAACATAATCAGGTTAAACACTCCAGTTTTCCCGATTATGTTGCTGAATTAAGAAACAGAAAGACTATTAAAGTACAATGTCTTATCTTACTATGTATAAAGCTGAGACTATAATATATCTAGTAAGACTTTGCTGACCCAAGTCTGTCAATTAGAACAAAACAATACTCAAATTAACCAATAAAGAGAATCTGTTTAGCTGTCAGCAGTGCTTAGTACTGGCAACCGTGTCGTGCTAAATTATCAAGACGTCAGTGTCATATTTTAACTCAGGAAGGCCGGAAGTTGAACTCTGCTCTCTTCGACTTCACTGTCCCTTAATATTACATATTTCCTTGGATATAAGATATCCAAAAAAGTAACACCTTCTTCAACAGTAACATATCTTAATAAAATGTTGAACTTGATCGTCTTTGGGCTGGAGCCTGGAATTAATATTATGGTGTGCAGGCACTAATGAAATTTTGAGTGTTAATAATAAACATCTTGTTCTATTTCAGTACAGAATGTGGTATGATATAAACATTAAAGAAGGGTTCTTTGTTGTATTCAAGTCAGCCTACCGGAAAACCAAAGCCCATCCGGTACAAGTTGTGAAGGAGATCTCCACCAACGAGATTTTTCAAGAGTCTTTTACCATGTTTGTAAATTTCAGTTTCATTCATTACGTCTTTCTCATTTCTGAATCTCCTTATCGACAGTCGAGTGTCATTTTGCATTTGGTCCTTAACACAGATAGAAGTGGAAGCTTAACAAAAACTATTCAATTTCAGTTACCAGACCGATGAAGCAAAGGATGAACTACACCAGAACGTCCCTAGTGTAGGGATTCAAAAGAAACCACCGCAGACTCCGCCCACTCTCCAACCAGTACCTCACTACTTGAACCCGATGTATTATCAGCAATACCAATACCATCTATCTGAATACTATCAATTTGAACAACCTGTGTTTTGTATGTACAACTATAATCGAAACGCTGGAGCTTAAATATGGAGTTTGAATTTTGAATTTCGTCGCCGACTTGAGAAAGCAACCCGATGTAACTTGAAAATTTTTACATCTCTGGCCCAAAATCTGACTGTAAACATCTTGTAATCAGTAAGTAATGTGCTTTGCGCTAACAAAGGTTTTTTACTTTCATGGCTTAATACCATTATGAATACCGATAATAGAATATCTATACCTATGAAACTCGTATTTTATAGACACAGTCGTGTATATTTATTCCTATTAAATATTCAATGTCATAGATATGCGTTTCACTTGTATCACGTCGTGACACCCATTGAGCATTGTCATTTCACCTAGTGGTGTATCGGGGCAACAGCCACGATACAGCACGCACTCGTGCTCGGCGGGCCTACAACTTGAAGCAACGTTTCACAAAGAAAATGTGAATTTACTTTAGTACTTAAAATTCTTTAAGAAGTCAAATTTTAGACCAACATTCAAGGCACGGTTGTTGGAGTAGAGTGGGGTTTTGCATCATCAGCCCTGGACCTTTTAGTGTTCCACGTGCCATCCTAGTCCTCCTTTTACATTTTGGTTTTACTGGGTGGCGTCCAGCCTGTCACTGTCAGTGTCACTCAGCCGCATCTTCAGAAAAAGCCTGAGGTCCCCACTCCCCAGGTAATCCTCTTATTAGACTTGATCCCGTCGATCGTGTGTGATTTGATTGTGCTAGAAGTAGTAAAGACGACGGGTTCAAATAACCATAATAATAAAGCATAATCAATAATCATAGGTCATTTTATTTCGGATGATGATTAATCTTTAAATCACACTACACTCGACTAATTACCTGGGGACCTCAGGCTATTATGTACATAAACATAATATGTAATAGAGATTCGGCGGAATGACAGGCTGAACGCGGCCCAGTAAGACTATAACTATTTCCAATTTCGTCGCGTGACTAATACTAATAGTAATATGTAATTCAGTAATTCAGTACTTAACTTTTCATTGTCATACGTTGTATGACCCGCTGCGCACGAAGTGCGCGGCTCCCCCTGTAGCGTCGAAGACGCTACAGTACGCACTATAGTGAAGCGCACTATATGCTATAGTGAAGCGACCGTGGGGGTCACCACGTGATACAAACTTTTCATTGTTTAATTTGTAATTGTCTCCGCAGCACATTATTATTTATTATACTTGCGCGCTTCGCTATTCTACATTTGTTCTAAGTTGTAGCGGAGCTACGACCTGGAAGTGGAACAAATTGGCATTGTTAATCATATCATTTGTCAAGCTCAAACATTAAACACGTCCTTTAGATGAACACAGAGATTAAAGCAAAGTTTCACCTACCCATGTGCTTGCGGGCGCGCTTGTTCCACAAATAAATAAGAATGAAGAAATGCAAACGAGATAGAGCAAAAACAAAGTAATTAATTGTTAAAGGAGTATACCATACTGTATTTGGTATTGTCAATTATATCACGTCGTGACCCCCATTGTCATGTAACTTGATGAACTGTATCGGGGTGGAAGCCATTGTTAATGGTCTGGCCCGGCGCGCGCTACTTCGTAGCACTTGCCGTCGAGAAGAAAGCGGCGCGCGCTTATACTTCGAAGAAATTTAGACGAGTGACATCCGTCAACCACGATACAGCTGCGCACTCGTCCATGTTGTCACTCTTGCGCGGCGGACCTATATACAACGTGAGGCAAAGTTACTATACCATATACTGTACTATATAGGCAGCTTAGCGCGGGCTCCGTGGAAGATTTGACAGCGCACAGATCTGTTACATGTTATGAGTTACGTGTTATATGTCATGTCGCTCTAACCAGAGCCCTCTCGCTTGCAGTAGCGCGCGACCGTTGTGAAACAAGCGCGTCACGCAGTACGCGTAGGCACATGGCTATGTGAATGTTATATGTTGATTTTGTGTTACCGCTCATTTCGCTAACTGTTAGTGTTAGATCAAATTTATCACTCATAGATTTTTTTGAACGCGCGCAGCGCGCGCACTGGGTTTATTTTTATTTAGCAATTTATTTAATTGTATTCATGCTGTGAATTCAGAATTGCCTCAGACTAGTAACATTAGTACATTGTACTCTATTTTTTAAAGTATATAAGTATTACCTAAAACATGTTTAAGTTCGTTGAGTGTTAATAAGTAATTGTGCAGTGTGGCTGTTAAAGATTTTTAAACACTTTAATATTTTATTGAATATAGTTGATTGACGATGTCAATCCATTTCGATCGTTGCTCTGCGAAGCAAAGCAAAGATCGACGATGCGAAGCAAAAATGCTAGTCAAATAGAATGTTTGAACCACTGAAAATGCCGGTCGCGGTTGACTGTTCACTGTTGGGTGTAAGTGGTTGTAAGACGCTGCCTGACCCACTGTTTTATCGTTGTAGGTTTACAACCTACCAGGACGCGCGCCGAGTTGGACTCGTCGACGGCCAAACAGATATTTTACGAGTATCACCCGTTAATTTTATTGTAGCCGGGCTGGTGGAGAGGGTTGGGGTGCAACGTGAAGCCATACAATTTGCAATTGAGAGTGCAGAGGTAGTTTAAGTTTGCGCGCCGCAAATCAATTCAGAGTGATCCTGTGTGAGTTCCTCCGCACGCAACCTTGAAAGACCGAGGCTTCATGTGCTTCAACTTTGAAATGAACATACGGCCTGTGCCGCCACTGTCGTGGCCTGTAACGGTTGTTTCATTACCTGCACTGCATATCTTTTGATCAAATTAGTTCGTTTATATCTTGTTTCAACTTACAATTGAAATTCAACAACTATTTTGCTCATTTGAAAATATGATGCCCTTAAACCACAGTGCTATCGTTTAAGTAAAGTCAAATAACAAATCTAATGATCATTATACTAAACGGTTAATGATACAGAACTGATGCGGCAAGTATTTTCACTGTGTATACTCAAAGCGATACACAGGATACATTAAAACTCAAGAAGCAATCACCATTCTACAGAACGATACTGTTTTGTTTTTTGCTTTCCTACTTTCTTTTGAGTTGTCATAATATTATCACCAATTGATACATGCTTTTACCCTCGTGGAACCAGTAATATTAAAACTGTAAACTTGTATTCTCTACTGTATTATGTGCAGCAAGTAAGTATTACTAAGTAAAGGCAAATCGACATAGGTTACTTAAAGAAACCGGTGTCTTGTGTCGATTTGTATGCCTTTATCATAGGATACAGCTTTGTGCCACAATTGTCAGTGAAAATAAGTTGCTAATATTGCTTTCGCTAACCGTCTTTTGTTCATATTAGAGTGCTATTTTGCGGACAGCATTAGTGACTTCATCTGTCATCACTTTTTTTATATTAAACGTTTTCACTCGATCCTCAACACTTTTTAAATAATATGATTCCAGCAGCCATGAGTTATGTAGTGATCTGATAAAGTAAAGATTTATGTAATGTAATGGTGGACGCAGCTGTCATAAAAAAGACACAAGACTCGCTTGGAAAAGTTATTAAAAAGCCCCCTCTTACAGAAAAGTTATTATCAAAACCCCCCTTCAGATACCTTCATGATATTATTTCAGAGGTTTGTGTTCATTTCCCGTTCATTTGTTCATTTCCCGTTCATAAAACCGGGCAGCCTAGGAATTCTAGCAATAATATCCATTTTTGAAATCTCCTCATTCCCTATTTGTATGATCATACCTTCACTTCCATTGTAGAGCACACAACTTTATAAACAATTCTCTATCTCCAGGTAACGAAAAGTACCGGTTTTCTTGAAGGACTATTTGAGGACAATGAAAAAGTTGCCGCCAATGTCAAAGTAAGTTTGAAGCGTTTTGTAGATCCCTGTTTGAAAATGTTTCCATTTCCCTCTTTGATCAATACTACCGTGCCCAGTCTGGTATTTAATTTAATTTTCTTTACCAAATAATTTTTCCACAGGATAAAGAGTCCAAGATACAGTACTTACAAAAAGCAATAGATGCCGTAGGTGAGTCTCTCTCGCTCTAAAACACGCATTATCACTTATCAGCTCATCTACAGCGTCACACAGCGTGTAACCATCATGCATGACATGTCACGAGGACACCTGTGTTACATGCATACATGTCCACATGACAAAATATTAGCGAACATCTGTCATTTGATGTTCGTTCATTGTCTGCTAAAAGATTAAAAGCTGCAGCATCGTGTTTTAATGAGCTCAGACTTATCATGATTCATGATACATCTTCATTATTCATCGATGACATCATTTCATTTAAGCCAATATATTTCTGATTTAAGTATCGTTTTACTTCCCTACCTCTATTTATAATTTGATACCATAAAATACTCGTTAAATCTAAGTTTTACCAGATCAGACGTTCTATTATATATTCTATTAATAGAATATATATATATTATATAATTATATATTGATTATTGAAACAAATTCAAACAAAGATCAAACAACTAAGCAATCGTTTGTAATAGGGTGTAACAAAATAACCTACCTACATAATAATAATATACTGATAATGATAGGCTAGGGGAGTGACTCAAGTTATGATAATCCTAACTAATAGATTAATTAATTAATCGCTGTTAAATTTCAAAGTAGACTTGCGCTACCTCCATAATATTAGCCACGTCGTCAATATGAAAAATAAATCACTTACTTACACTAAATTTGTCAACATGGTAATCTGCATTAAACTGAATTAAACGCAAACTACATATTTACAACATACAAATTAAATATTAATACTTTTAGGTTTGGTGTTAGGATCTCAACTCGGAGTTCGTCCGTCTAAAATAATTGCTGGACAAGAACCGGAGAAAACCAACGAATTTCTGCAATACTTGGGCAGATGTGCAGCTAAAGGGGTACGTATTCTTGAAATTTCGTTGTGGATTCAATTTAAAAACAAGAGTGGTGAATTTACTTGCACCTTGTATTGTACACCCGGCTTAGGTGAAACGAGTAACGCTGCTACCACTTATTTTGATTCATTTAAAGAAGCATAAATTTGGAACCTTCAGGCTGATAACGAGGTTGTGAAACGCGTGAAAAAAGGAGAAAAACCGGGGAAGAAATCAAAGTGAGTTTCAAGTTGGGCAAATAGCAGTTAAAGTGAATGGTGGCATGAGCTGTGGGTATAAATTAAGTTTCACGTGCTAACCATCGTGCTTCCATAAAATTGTAAGGTTCCATTTCTTCATAATTAGCAAATAGCAAATTAACAGTATTGCTGTTTCAAATCTATTTGCAGTGCAGCACCCACTCTGGGATTTTAGCACCTTTAGCACTTTAGCCAAGTGCTCAGAAACGTGCTCAATCCAAGCTGGACCTAATAATAAAGCCTCGAGTATTGTGGTACACACACTCAAGTTCGACACGCACTCTAGATCGACACGTACTGTAGTTCGACAAACCCTAAAGTTCAACTTTGTCGAACTAAAGTGCGCTACCTGGACTTTAGTTCGACACGTACTTAAGTTCGACAAAAGAACTTCGACTCAGGGATGAAAAAGATATTCATAAAGATTCAGATTTATTCAAAAAAATATTTTTTAATTCAGATTATCTTCCAATTTAGTTTTTTATCGAACAATTTTGAGTCACATATAAAATTTGATAACATTCCGTGAGCCAGAAGTAAAGGTAATAGTAAATAGTAATAGTAGAGGATGATGTTCGATACGACTACTATAATACCTTCATGCGAGCTTGTGATCCGATAGCGTGCAGCAACAGTATATATAAGTCGTATTATACAGTATTATATAAGTCGTATATAAGTATTTAAACAGTTATATAAGTAGCACCAGTAAATAGCCGTTGGATCACAAGCAGAAACTATTTGTCGAACTAGAGTACGCTACCTGGACTCTAGTTCGACACGTACCGAAGTTCGACAGGGCTGATTTCTTAAGGGGGCAGGGGGTCTTTATGAAATTTCTCTCGAAATTGATTTTATAGTTGTTTCTGATAGAGGGGAGTGATATCTACCAGATGTTTTTGGTCCCATGGAAAATGTTTGTTCCTAGCCGAAATTATTGCCGGTCAAAGGTCAGCGATCATGTGTAATTGTAATGCGCGAGCGATTTTCAATCGCGCGCCCTGAAAATCGAGTCTAAAAATCTATCTTCTCCTACATTTTTTGAGCAATCACCTTGAAACTTTCAGGATATGTTCTAAGAACCATTTAGAAACTTCTGGTCAAAAAACGAGGTCCAAGATTTTCAAAATCGAATAAAAACTTTTCTAAGGCCTATTTTAAAATTCTGATAGACCAGAAGTTTCTAAATGGTTCTTAGAACATATCTAGGAAAAAAATTTTTCCATGGGACCAAAAACATCTGGTAGATATCACTCCCCTCTATCAGAAACAACTATAAAATCAATCTGGAGATCCAACGATATGATTTTCCTGAAACTTTCTAGATAGTAAGATAGCTTTAAGACAAATAATTTGTGCAAGTTTGGGTGAATTTCTATGTGCCAAATTTGAGATATCACTTCAAACACAAGAAAATAGTGTTGTCGGACAGATGTCGCTGTCGGACAGATGTCGTGTTACCAAAATCAATTTCGAGAATATTTCATAAAGACCCCCCCCCCCTGCCCCCTTAAGTTGTCGAACTAGAGTATGTGAATCGAGTATTGTAAGGCTTTGTATAAGAACATGTTATTAATGGCCTCTGCAGTATCAGATTGTGACATTAGTCCCTCCTCAGATCAGGAGAAGACGGCAATAGGAGCAAGGAAAGGAGGTCTTCTAAAGAAGGAGGTGAAAGAAAGTCCAAAGCGGGTAAAGAACGTGATACCTCAAAATCGAAAGAGCGTGTTGGTTCTAAAGAGAGATCGAAGGAACGTGTGAGTGGATCTTCAAAAGAACGTGGTTCCAAAGAACGTCCAGAGAGAGGAAGAAGAGAACGATCGAAAGATGATAAAAAGGGGAAAGCTAAATCTTCTGAACAGGTGGCAGAGAAAAAGGATTCCTCAGAGGAGAGAAGAAAAGAAAAAGGACGGCGAGAAGAAGAGCGCGCTAAAGAAAAAGAAGAAAGGAGACGGAGAAAGGAAGCTGAGGAGGAGGAGAAGAGACGGCAGCAAGAAGCTGCTGCAGCTGCTGCAGCTTCACAAGCTGAACCTGATGGAGAAGAACCATCTACTGCAGCGCCACAACACCAGGTAAACAAATTGTGATTCTACAATGCTGGTGTTAATGTTAGTTTATAAAAATGATACGAACTTATATTATGGTTATGAGTTTAACTTATCGTTCTTAAGAAGACTTATCGACTTCAGGAATAAATTACGATATATGACAATATCTCCATGTTTTCAGGAAGCTCCTGAAGGAGACGAAGAGGCGCCGCTTACAAATGGTTTCCACGAAGACGATGCTCCTGTACGCATTCCACGACCCTCTTCTGCAAAAGGTGCTCGCAGACGACCTGAACCACCCTCCGCAGACCCAGGTATAATCCAGCTTCTAAATTAGAATATAGAATGTTGTAGTAGCTGCTTTACCTACTCTAACCCTGTTTTCAGAAGATAGTAAACCACTGTAACCCAGGGCAGGAGGATCTGGTCCGGGCTAAGTCAGGTCGGCACCGGCGTGCTCCTTCTGCAGGACGACCTCGTAACGGCAAATGTCGCTCCTCAGGTCATAATCTGCACGTTGTACTAGTTTTGCACTGATCACCTGTATTCTTGTCGTACAGTATATGATGATTAGTAACCTATATAATACTAGGTCTCAATTATCTTTGGGTTGGTTTGTGGCTTGTCGTTCTTTTACTTTTAGGGAGCATGGCACGATGATATGTTTTTGATGGATTACTTTTGCAGAATCTTTGTCGTGCACACTGCACCAGCTACCAAACACTAAAAGCGTATAATGCATTACGCTACTTTTCTGTATAATCTAATAATAAATTGTAAACATCGTCTAGTGAGCTGTTATATACTGAGGGGTCCAACGTAGCCTGGCAGCACTGATGAAAGTCTCAACAGACTTGATACACTGTATATATATATACGTACAAAGTAATCAATTGGGAATGTTGAGACACGAGAACTGACACGTCTCAACATCCCTCTTTTACTTTAACACTTTTGTTTAAAACTTGAGCCTCAGCCCACAAGAACGATACTTCAGCAAATAATTTGTTTTTAAAATTTCAAAATAATTTGTTTTAAATGTGTTTTTCCTGATTTTTAAAAGTTATACTTTCTTTCTGATGTTTTTGATGTTAGGTTATGAAAAATGTTCGATCCTAATCATAGTTATGAGTATGTCGATATATAGCATCTCTGGATAAAATGTCTAATAATACCAATAATATAATAATGCAGTAACCGGGGGAGCTGGAGGGGGTTCGGGTACTAAGTTCTGTACGTAATGTCGACTTTAAAGTGTAATTTTGGAATTTTTCAAAAGACCACCCACTCTTGGTCACCCAATACAACTATCTGGAATCGTTCTTTGATTTTGGATTAACTTTTATAGTATTTTGGTACAGCCTAACCCACCTCCTTCGCGGTACTTTCGGATAATAATTAAGACACCCACCCCCTTTTGCCGGCTTTTGCGGTACTAACTGTTGAGAAATCACGGTACTAAGTGTGTCTTGGTATATAAAATAAGATACCCACCCAGAAATTGCATTAAACAGCTCATTAAACATGACTTTTTAGTTTTAAAAGGATCCGATATTGAATGTAAACAATAAAACTAACAGTTGAGATATCTATGCTTAATTAAAAACAGATTATACGATGTACAATCATCTTCTGTCTACTCCAGTCTACTCTTTAGTTGTACGAACTTTTCCACATCTATAGCAGCTCTTTTGGCGGGCCTCTTTGCCGGGCCCGTCACGTACAGTACTCGACAGTCGACACCCCCCCCCCCCCCCCCCTCCGCAGTGACAGTAATTAAGTAATTAAGTTCGATAATTAAGTTATGTTCGTGTAAAAGCTCTTCTGAGTTCTGGTAGATATGTAGACCTTGCCGCCTTAACTTGAATCTTGATATTTCCCTTTGTGAGACGCCTTCCTCTAGCGTTAATTATTTATATTATTCATTTTACCTGAAACATTAAACATTACTAGATGTTTTGTTTGAAAAACTACAGAACTACAATTGCAATACTCTAGTCTGTGCACCGTATTTAACAATTGCATACCAATACTAACATTGCACTGATACACATACTGTCTTCCATAGATCAATCCCCTCATGAATGCCAGGGACGAGTGCCTTATTACCTCTAGGTTTAACTTACATTTATTATTCATGTAACGTGAATATAATTTATTCAACACTATTTTGATATTAGATTTCAAACATTGCTATATAACGGAAGCTTTTAAGATTTACACTATTCTCCACATTACCATTGGGAACCGTTTGAAGTTTCTTCTTTCTGAGCATGTTATTTCAGATTTGATAATCAGTGCCCTCATGTCATATTGGTATTTTAGAAACATGCTCTTTACTCTAGTAGCAGGGAATAGTTGAGTGTGCACTTGGATGTGTACTATTTCTGACAACACAGGGTTGTTTGTTAGGTCATTCTTAACCAAAATCGTGTGGGTGCACAATTTGTTTCGCTAGAGACAACCCTACAGGGCAAATTTTCTAAATTACCCTCAGTCGCGTATACGAGATTTTCGTATTTCGGCTCCTGAAGGTCATAGAGACTTCAATTTTAGCTTAAAATTACCGCAATAGCCATATTTATATACAACTTATGAAGCAACATAATAAGGTCTCCAGTGCTTTGTTTTATAGATATTGACAAAAAACTGTTTTTTGGCTCAGCGAACCAAAAATGGGACTGAATTTTGGTAACTTGAACTAGGAAGATCGTAGAGACTTGAATTTTAGCTTAAAATGAGCGCAAACATCACATTTATATACAACTTATAGAGCAATATAAGCCCTTTAATGCTTATTTGTTAAGATATTGACAAAAATCGGTCATTTTGACTACACGCGTGAGGAAAAATACCAAATTGGGCAACAACTTTGGTTTTTTTTATAAACCAGTTTTGTGCTCAAGTTATTAAAATGTGCTTTGATGTTGTAGATCGGGTGTTTTCTTCCAATATGGGTTTCGGTATAAATCCGGAAGCACCCGGTTCATGGGTGATAGGGGTTAAAAACCCTAAAATGTCAGGCGATGGGCGAGACAATTGTCTGAAGTTGGTTATAAAAACACTTGCACTCTTTGCTAGGGTTTGCTTTTTTCTGCTACATCGATACTAATCATCCCCCTCTACATCATTCTCTTTTAGATACATGATTTAGTTAATCGTTTTTGAAACTGTCTTTGAAAATGATATCTATTGCCAAATTGCTTTTAGACCTTCTGTGTGGGAAAATCATCAAGAATTTTTGGCTGCGGAAAACCGCAAACATATCTTCCATTCCTTTCTGTGCGAAAGTTTAAGTTGTATGCGCTCTACATTTCTCAGGATATGGTTGCCTCTACTCTGCAAGGCACATATAATAATTTGTGATAACTAAGACAGATGGTGCAAGCTGGCCATGTTTTACTTGTGGGTCATTTTGTAACTGGGTTGTAGGAGAAAGCCATTTTGTAACATACTATTTTGAAGGTTTTAATGTGCCCATTAAACATTTTCTGGGGCCTAGCTCCAAATGCTTAAGAACTGTCCTGCTTCACTCGCCGACATTGCGAAAGTGGAAAATTCGCGAGCGAAGCGAGCGAGCCACAAAAAGCAGAAAATTTGTATCTGCGAGGAAATTTTTAACTTTCTGGATGTGGGTATTTGTGAGTGTCATAAGCTGATTGTGTAAGCGGTCTAGATTTATTTATTAATCATTGGAGATTATCCTAATTCCTAAATAAGTTGCAGTGTTAAACTAGCCTAATGGAAAGCAATATGGCGTAACAGTGGGGAGGTGGTGGCGTGTTAGAAGCTAAGAAATGGAAACAACATAATATGTTGGGGTAGGATGAGACCTGAGACTGAGGGTAATTACAGCAGCCGATGAAATTGTAACTGGATCACTGTAATCGCTAAAAGGAAAATGTGCTGACTAGACGATATAATAGGAGGAAACACAATTAACAACTTTTCCCAACTTTTTCATGTGCAGCGAATTTGGAGACAAAAACGCCGCATTAGTAGTCTGAATAATTCGCCAAATTTGCAGCCTTTAAGTAGATTATTGTGTTTAATACGACAATTAATTTACAATGTATCTTACGTTGATTTTGCTGACAATTCAGGATGTATAAACAAGTGTATATTCAATATGATAACTTTGTAACTTTACAACAAGATTTCCAACATATGTGTAAAGACGACTAACGCGACTAAAGTGACTCGGTTTCAAACTGATCAGAGATTGTGCTATTGTGATCCAGCTTGACAAGTTATTCGTTTGCTAAGAATCACCCTCTTTTGTTTTGTTTGATCAGATATCGATAGTTTTAAAAGTCAATGCATTATCAACTTGCCTTCTGATAATAATGATTAAAAATTTTCTGAGAATATTTTTAGGGAAGAAAAATCATTCTAGACACAATATTATGTTTTTCCTGATTTTAAAAAGTAATTCTACTTTCCAATGTTTCTAATTTTACCTCATGTCAAATGTTTGACCCTAACCATATATACTTGAAACTGCACCAAGTATGGTATGTATGTTCATGAAATACTTGGTATGAAATACTCCGGGTTACTTAGTATAAAATACTCAGGGACCAGGGTTACTTGGTATTGTATTCCTACTTATCTGGCATGCTCTGTCACACTAAATTTGATATTGCAAGATCACACTTGGTTGCTTGGTTGCTAGTATTGTTGTAAAACCCTGCGTTATGCGTTCCCTGGATGCTTGTGTTTAAATGTACCATTATTTTTTGCTATGTTTGTACTTGTACTTGAAAAGGTCTCCTCCTAGCCGTTGGAGTGGCCTGCACCACATAGTAACTCCTTTCTCCGGTGTATTAGACCTCTCCAGTGAACCCTGTCTGTAGCTTGTTGTTCTGCTATGTTTGCTTATTCTTAATTTCAGATAAGATTGTTTATTCATTATCAAGTTAATAACAGCTTTGTCTTATAACAAGATCACGTGATGACAAGTTCTCGAAGTGACAAACCAGTTACCGCCCCTCTCATCCAAAGGGGCGGTCCTGACAAGAACCCTCCTAACCACTTCAAAACAGCCCTCCTCTGTGTGATATCTCTGACTCTGGGACTCGTACAGACCATCCCCCTAGCTATCCTGATACCTGAGTCTCTAAACCTGGGACTCTCCACAGCTCAAGCCTCCCTTATCTTAGCAGCATGGCCTGCCTCCTCCCTTCTAGTCCTCCTCATTCAGCCCCTCATGAACCGTCTCAAAACCCCTCTCTACCTCATTCTCACGGCTCTGATCAACTCTGCTGGGTTTTGTTCGTTCTACTACTCTGTTACTGTACCCCAGTATTACCTCTATCTGGCGGTTCTGGCGCGGTTCACCTGCGGTACTACTCTCTTCCTCATCAACAACAAAACAGCTGTAGGAATAACAGAACATCTTCGTGGAAATGTCAGCAAGTCCTCTACTCTTTGGGAGGTATTCAACTCAGCAGGTCAGGCCTGCGGAGCTTACCTTGGATCCGTACTGGACAGTAAGATCGGGTTCCCTCTCTCTATGGCTGTGTCTGGGGGAACGATACTGGTCACCGTGGTGATATTATCTTGCTTCTATCCCCGTGACTATGGTAGAGTTGACGAGAGTACCGACACTTCAACTCGAGATACCTACCGTCTCTACGTATCTCGTGATATGCTGATATACTGCTGGTGCCCAATGGTCTGCATTGGAGGTTGTATGGTGTACGTTGAAGGAATCATCACTGAGTTTTACTTAAAAGAGTTTCTAAAATCCTTGCAGTTTGGCGGTGTTCTGATAGGTGTAAGCGGTATCGTGTATTGTATATCTGCCACTGTAATAGGGTTGCTACGGGAGAGATGGGCAAGTTTGACGATTATAGGTCTGGTGTTGGGTTTGTTTGGATGTGGAGTTGTCCTTCCTTTTATCGGACCAATGGTCTCTCCTCCAGGACAGTTTAAACTCTACCTCTCAGTCGCTACTTTCAATCTACTGGGAGTTTGCAGCTGTGCTATTCAACTCAACTCCCTAACCGTATCAGCTGCTGCGCTCACTAAAATACTGGATAGTCAGACGGCAATGTCAGTCTCTTTGAACGCCGTCAATGTCGCATATAATCTCGGGGCGTTTGTCGGTCCAATTATTGCTGGCAATCTGTTGACCTGGTTTGGTTTTAGTGAAGTTTTTGCAATTGGGGCTCCGTTTTTTATTTTAGCTGCTGTTATTGTTGGTGTTGCCCACGTTAGACAGCCCAGATAGTCGAACTATTCGTTTTTCAGTATTAGGGGGCAGGACGCCATCCCCATGTTCCTAACCATGTTCCTCAAGTGGGTCTAAGACAATCCTCTCTATAAAAAGAGTACAGACCGTTGATGAATTTAATGCTTACCAATTTTTAAATAGTTATACTGTGACTATAAAGATCTCGTATTTTTTTTATTGAACAATTTAAAAAAGTTAAACCACCGAAAGGATATTTATGTTTGAATTTTTCTATCGTGTGTTGTCGTCTAAATGAAATGTCAGATAATCTATATTGTTTGTAAAAACGCTACGAATACTAACGGGGGGGGGGGGGGGGGGGGGGGGGGGGCCAATGGCATAAAATGGCATAAAATGGCATAAAATGGAGACTTTTTCTATGGAGAAAATGGAAAAACCCATGAGTAATTCTCCATTTTCTCCATTTTATGCCATGAATTTTGTCTTCGAAATTTCATCTTTAACATCATTTAACACCTAAATTGGACATCCTAACATGTTTATTTACGCTTACTAGGGGCGTAACAAGCTTATGAAAGCTCATAGTAGGCTACTAGATGCTTATACTAGGTTAGTAGAGGCACACTTCAGGCAAACTCATAATTACTCAAGCCTAGTGTAAAGTTATTTCTACAGGCTACAGCAGGAGTGAGTAATAGGGGAGAGTAATAGGCACTGAGAAGTGAGACCTACATCCTCGACAGTCGAAACAAGCTCGCACTGCAAAGGGGAGGCCTGCCTTCCGAGATCGCATTACCAGGGGGAAGCCTCGAGTCCAAATTTGTGTATCGAGGGGTAGGTGCAGACTTCGATAAACCGAAAAACCAAAAAAATATTTTCGGCTTATAATGAAGAGGGTAGCATGAAACGTAGAGAAAAGTGGTTTTTAGAAAAACTTTGAAAAATTTTGACTTAAAAAATTTTCGGCCCGAGTCATTCTCGATACGTACCTCTCGTATCGAGAGCTCCTGATTCCGAGCTCGTGTTGCAAAGGGGAGGCCTGCCTTCCGAGATCGCATTACCAGGGGGAAGCCTCGAGTCAAACATTGTGTACCGAGGGGTAATTTTTCAAATTTTTTCTGAAAACCGCTTTTCTCCACGTTTCATGCTACTCTGTTCATTATTTGCCGAAAATATTTTTTCGGTTTTTCGAAGTCCACACCTTCCCCTCGATACACAATTTTGGACTCGAAGTAATGCGATCTCGGAAGGCAGGCCTCCCCTTTGCAACACGAGCTCGGAATCGGTAGCTCTCGATACGGGAGGTACTTATCAAAAATGACTCGGACCGAACATTTTCTAAGTCAACATTTTTCAAAGTTTTTTTCTGAAAACCACTTTTCTCCATGTTTCATGATACTCTGTTCATTATTGGCCGAAAATATTTTTTCGGTTTTTCGAAGTCCACACCTTCCCCTCGATACACAATTTTGGACTCGAGGTAATGCAATCTCGGAAGGCAGGCCTCCCCTTTGCAACACGAGCTCGGAATCGGGAGCTCTCGATACGGGAGGTACTTATCGAAAATGACTCGGAACGAACATTTTCTAAGTCAACATTTTTCAAAGTTTTTTCTGAAAACCACTTTTCTCCATGTTTCATGATACTCTGTTCATTATTGGCCGAAAATATTTTTTCGGTTTTTCCACACCTTCCCCTCGATACACAATTTTGGACTCGAAGTAATGCGATCTCGGAAGGCAGGCCTCCCCTTAGCCCCTTTGCAACACGAGCTCGGAATCGGGAGCTCTCGATACGGGAGGTACTTATCGAAAATGACTCGGACCGAACATTTTCTAAGTCAACATTTTTCTAAGTTTTTTCTGAAAACCACTTTTCTCCATGTTTCATGATACTCTGTTCATTATTGGCCGAAAATATCTTTTTTTTAAATAATTTTTCTCGAAATTCTAAATTTTTCAGGTTTTCAATGGCATAAAATGGCATAAAATGGCATAAAATGGAGACTATTTCTATGGAGAAAATGGAAAAACCTATGAGTAATTCTCCATTTTCTCCATTTATGCCATTGGCCCCACCCCCCCCCCCCCCCCCATACTAACATACAACTATTTCTGATTTCTGTCACTACAATTAAGATAAAAACCATCATCCATCAAGTGGTCCTGCTAAAACCGTGTGTTAGAATGAATATGAAAATGTAAAAGCAACAAACAAGTTATAAAGTATGAATATTTCAGGGGGAGATGTGAAGCGGTCGTACGCTGAGGCAGTGACAGGTGCAACTACAGGGGAGCCCGCTATTCCAATCGTGGCAGGGTATGACACTTTCTGTTGACAAATTTAGTTTACAAGTCCTAGCAAAGTATAAAATACGTGTTAAAAGATTATTTTCACAATTCGAATGGTCTTGAAACACGGTATTTGTGGACCAATATTGGTGTATATATCACTATTATATTCCGTCTAAACAAAAGTAAGAATAAATTTTTAGCATACCTTTCTCCTATCGTAACTTCTAAACTTGATTAGGACTATATTATGTATCTAACCCACTGATTAATCCCTTAAATAAGTCGTGATTTATCAAAACAAACAAAAGTAAATAGGGATAATATGAACGCTTGATAAGATCGATAAAACTGACTTCTGCTAGTGATCGAGGACAGATTAACAACATATTGTGCAATTTAATTTAGGTCCCAAAACTGAAACCTAAACTATTGTGAGCGTGAAATATCCAAATCGTATAACAGGATGATTTCCAGAAACAATTTTAAAATCCGCTCGAAAATTGTTGTTTCTGTATATAGCACTTACTTCTAATAATAACTTTAAATGTCCAATTTAATACCCGTAAATAAATTCACTAATGGAATATGTAAAGTTACAAATATCTTTAATTCTTCAGTAAGCGGAGAGAAAGGCCCACCAGTGCCCGCCCAGCCCCACCCAGGATCAAGAAACGAGACGATGACTCGACTGAGGACATAGCTGTCAGGTTCGTACAAAATATTCAAACTATCACCCTCATTAATCGTTATGTTGGAGCGAAATGCAAATACAACCGCTCATTCACCTTTACGGTAAATTTACTTATTTAACTCAAAGTTAGGAATCTCTAACGTCTCTGGTATTCGAAAAAAAAAACAGTTTAAGAGACAATTTGCATTATGTAGACATTTGGTTGGCATTAAAGATCATGCGTAACAATTTTGTCGTCAGAGCCTATTATTATTGCGTTATGGCTAAATTATTGGCATTTGAGATAACTTATGATTTTTAAAACTAATATTAAATCATTTACGGTATGAGACATAAATATAATAGGTGTGTCGATTCCTATAATATTCTTGCTCTTGAATCAGGTTTAATTTGTCTGGAGTTAAACTGATTTGTCCCTGATACTCTGCTCACTCCTTTACATTAAATAAGATAAAGACTTAACATTTACTCTTGTGACGTTGTCACGTGATCTAATATCTTCAGTATTTGATGATGCTTTAGTAAAAGATGTTGCGATATTCCAATTCCAGAGAATCGTTCTTAAACTAATTGCTAAAATCCTTTAAACATGTTTAAGGGGGAGCCCCTCCTTGCCCCCCGGCCCCCACCCCTCCCCCAGCCCTGGGTCAGACAATAGATAAGTGATCATGTACGTGATACATTAAATCTAAATAGTATATAAAATGTTGACCCACATAATGGAAGTATTACGTAATAAGTAATTAGGTTCCGTACCTTCATATCAATATCAGTACATTATGTTATATTTACTCTCTGAGTCGTCTCTAAAATACGTGAAATTTTCAGGGAGGGATCAGGGAGGCCCCCAGCTGGAATTATAGTGGACACCAAAGCAAGCAACGAAGAAGACGATGACGAGATGTTCGTTAACGAGGAGCCCGAGGAGACGGCCGCCATCAAACAACCCATCATCATGGGGGGTAGTGGTGGTTCTGGAGGTCAACACGGCGGTCTTGTTCAGAAGATTATAGACTCTCAGAAACAGTATTCTGCAACTGACAAACAGGCAAGTTTTTGTGTACCGTATTTGTGAATAGGAAAATTGTTGTGTAATTAATGAGTGTAATTCAGGTACCTAAGGTTTCCCTAGTTAAATCTATCAGGTTTCTATGTCAGTGCCACAGTTCCTTGGTTTCGTTTCAGCCTAAATCCTAATGCATGTACTCCTTCAGGAAGAGAAAGCGCCCATTATGAATCAAGCTGCCAGGCAAAAAGAGCGGGCTATGACAAAGAAAGAGGTAACTAAATTTTAATTTTAATGTCCTACTCACATTTGAATGTTCGTGATCAATTTTTAAATATTGCCTAATCCATCTGAACCGTATGTTTTAATGGCCGAACTTCACAGATTAGAATTAATTCGTTTTTTCCCTACTTATTCTATGATCGTTAGAAAATATAAACTTTATATAAAGGGAAAGCGAAACTTTCATCTTGAGGTTTTGCAGCCCAAGTGTGCCTTAACAATTAGTGGATTAATATGATAATATTTCCTTAAAACCACATACAGTTGGATCAATTATACACTTTCCCAAACTTATGCCCCTTAATTTTGTGACCCATAGCAACTGACACCTGATAGACTAATAATGGCAATGCTTTATCGCTAAGCAACGCTTCGAAATTTTGCGCTTTTTGTTATGAAAAGAACATTTTGTCAGCGGTCAGTGTGTTAAGAAGTATTGCGCGCGCAGTAATGAATTAACTTTACCTCATTTCGAGCGCTTTCCAAATTTAACGGTACTCACTATCTACAAGTTATGACATTGAATCGTGCCATTTGCAGTATAGTAGATTCAAACTCTTTTCTAAAACGGGAGGCCGACAAAGGGGGGCCCCCGATTATTAGGGGTCAGATCATATGACGTATAATTAGTGATGTGACGTATAATTAGTGATATGATCCATCAGTTGAATTTAATCACCAACACCATGAGAGACACCCTCGACAAGATCTTCAGAGAGTTTGAGCTTCCTGTCTAAATTTTAGTCTTCAAACCACCAACCCAACCTCTTGAAAAAACTATGAATTTACAATCTAAAATTATAAGCTGGAACATCCAATCAACGAATACAACTTTTGGCTCTAAGTTTGATGACCCTCAATTTTGTGCCGTCTTTGACAAGTTTCCTTTTGTCTGCCTTCAAGAACTCTCTGGCCAGTACATGAACATTAAACATCATTGTACCAGCGCTGTTTCTTTTCGCGCAACAATGAGTGCAGAGTGACCTGACCAAGGCGACTGTAAACAAAATATGTATTGTCTATTGACTTGTTAATTTAAATCAAAAGTACGGAGTTAAACTGGGCTAGATATAGGGTAGAGTTCACATGTTCTGTAAATCATAGCTGGTGGATCAAATCACTAATTATACGTCACATCACTAATTATACGTCATACGATCTGACCCCTAATAATCGGGGGCCCCCCTTTGTCGTGCAGCCTCTAAAACATACCAACTTATGAATTCTAATTTCAGATTGATCAGCTGAGAATTGGAATCCAGACTCTAGCCAGTAGCGCAGCTCCCCTCGGTAAAGTACTGGATTATCTGCAAGAAGATCTGGACAGTATGCAGAAAGAACTCGAAAATTGGCGGTCTGAGAACAAGTACCATGAAACGGCTATCAAAGCTGAAGAGAGGTAATGAAACCATTGCCATCCAAATTTTGAAATTTCGTAATTCTACATTCATCAATTGCTGCAACGCCAATCAGTCCAATTTTGACATTTTTCAACAAATTCAAGTTATTTATTTCAGTCACATGGAGAAAACGTTGGAGCCTCTCAAAGATCAGCTAGAGGATACTGAACAGCAGATAATCGACATGGTGAGAGTTTGTCAGTTTTCTGATTTTGGAATGGTACAGCAGGGTGTCAGAATTATTTGCGTGTTTGAAATTTTATGTGTATTTTATATGCTGACCGCTATTACCACATTTCAGATCAACAAGATCAACACGATGAAGTGCAACATTCACAACAACGACCAAAAGATAGGCCAGATGTTATCGACGATGAGCTTCAGTGCTTCATGATACTATCTAACCTTCAACAGTAAGATTGTCTTGCTTCTAGCTCAGTCAGATGAACCAGATTGCAACTACCCGGGTCTAAGTCCGGGGTCAGTGTAATTGTACTGCCGGCAGTACAGACAGCAGTTTACTCGTGTATTTGTGTCATTGTTTATATCAAATTGGACCGAGCTACCCTAAGATTTAGCAGATTTGTTGTTTTGTTGCTTTTATGTCGGCCAGAATCTGATAACTAAATACTTCAGAGTTAATTTCCCTTACTATTATGGTTTTGAGAAAACTTTTGCTCGACTGACTGGAGAACACCAAGCTGCAACCAGTTTAGATTGTTTGGTATTGTTTTAAACATGTCCCTTTGGAATGTACTTTTTTGTGATTTATATAAAAGAGGGTAATAAATTGTACAAATTTTACATTCCTTAAAATAGATAAAATTTCATACAAAGTTTATCTCACATAAAACCCAGGGCGACTAACTTTAACGCGTAAATCACTAAAAAACTACATCTGAATAAAAACGAAGTACAAGCTCATTTTCAAAGTTTCCACAATTCACACAGAAATATCAGAACCATCTCCCATTCCAAATACCACTGAATGTTGTCCGGACAAAACTTTACTTCTCTCCTGCTTCATAGAAGTTAATCTCATATAAGTTTCATCGCACTGTCCCGTTACATCAAGTGGAGAAAGGTCAATGAAAGGTTCTCCCTCAATTTGGCCGCCCAAAACAAAGTTCATGTCGTGTTTGCTGGTGATATTATGACTTGGGTTGATCCCCTGGTTCCCTTGCGATGTGTTCTGAATGTAGTTTTGCTCTTCCATCTGATCCTCGTAGAACTGGTCATCTTTTAGATCATCCTCGTCCTCCTACAGAGAAAGCACAGTATTATCAAAGATAAGGGGTTGAATTGTGGCTTATAAAATCAAGCACTTGATCCTTGAGCTCACCGGATGATGGTATTAATAACAGGCGAATTCCGATTATGTTCTAAGTACTAAACTGAGCCTTACTTACCGGTAAAAGTGGTACATCTCCACGTTTCTTTCTCTCCGGACACTTTTCAGTGTGTCTCCTCAAGTTGGAGTAATGTGGGAAGGTGGCCAGGCAGAACCGGCAGCTTTTCTGGCAGCCCCGCTGAGAATGGGACCTGATGTGCCGGACCAGGTGGGACGACTGGTTGAAAGATGTAGGACACATGTGACACGTATAGGGGCGACTCTGTAACGAACATTTAGAATTAGGTTACAGAATCTGTAATTCTAATATTTCTAATATTATTCACGAGAGGCAATCAATTTTCCTGAACGACTTTAGTATGCTGGTGGTATTGATTACTCAGGTACTTACTCTGGTGTGTATCCGGAGATGTCTCTTCAAATTAGAGGGGTCTCCAAACCCTCTGCTACAGTATTGGCAGATGTGTGGCTTCTCTCCAGTGTGCAGATTCATATGTACCTGACAAATTTAGTTACTCTATTATGTCAAGCCAATAACAGGGTAACTATAACCTTGAATCATGGAGTAATGATCAGTTATTCAAAAGAAGCCCTACGAGTCTCACCTTTAGTGAACTGTTACTGGGAAAAGTTTTCCCGCAAAAGTTGCAGATATTGTTCCCTTTTCCATTCGAGTCGTCTAAGTCCTCTGGGACTGCCTCAGTACGAGTGCAGCTTCTTCTGTTGATCCTAGCTATTGGATCACTTGTTGGAGAGATCTTCTGGTTGTCTGGCTTGTTTTCGTTTCTCGGTCTCCTGAGAATATGTAAATGGATTGGTCAAACAATCAATGCAATAGTAGGAAATTATCTCGGATTAATCCAAAATGTACCTCGTTCAACTTAAATAAACAAAGGCAAAAGGATAGAGTTCTTGTTTTTTAACTAACCTGAATTTGTATCGTTTGTTGACTGATCTAGTTTCCTCTTGCGGGGTCTCTTCAACTGGACCCGCTTCCCCCGCACACTGTTCCTCCTCATCCTTCTTCCCCTGGTACAAGTTCTCTGCTATGTTGATCACACTGAGTGACTTGTACATGTTACAAACGTCCACAAACATCTGGTGTTTGGTCGCATCGTCCATGTTGTTTATATTCTCATCAGACTGATCTACAAAGGACATGAAGACTGTCCTGACTTTATCCAGAGCCCCGGGGTCGGGAGGGCCGGGTTGGTGGAGTGTGGGAGTCAGGCCTGGTCCTGCAGTGAGGGGAGTTAGATTGTGGTACTCAGGAACCATCTGATCTGAAGGCATTATACAACCTGGGGGCGGGACTATCTGTCCTTCGTTAAGCAGCTCTATCTGTGTTGTCATGTTAGGATCACTGAACTGTCCTTCTATCTGAGCTGCCATGGCTGCAGGGAGTCCAGTATCTTTGTTGCTCGGCTTCCACTCTCTGAAACTGCTATTTTGGCGTCCCCGCAGGTTTGGGATGGTAGTTTCAGGCTGAATGTCCATTGCAGGGAACCCCCCTCTCATCTGAAGCTGTTGAGCATTCTGGGTATCTTGTAACATCTGCTGATCTGCCAACGAAAATCCAGTTAAGTTGTAATCTTCTTTACCAGCAAGACTGTACGGACTGATTTTATCAAATAGGCTAGGATCAACAGTTTGGCCCCAGCTAGCTTGATAAGCTTGCTCGATGGGAGATAGTTTCTTGTCGCTGGACATATCCATCATGTTGGTTGTGGGGTACTGCATAGAGTATCCGTCGTAATTCTGATACATGTTGTTATTGAGCTGTTGCTGGTACATTGCTGAGTTATCGGAAGGGATCCCGCACAAGTTAGCCACATCATTGAGGGTATAATAGTCACTTGGAGAGCGGTACAATCCCGGGGCGGTGTCTGTAGTCGGGGTCATGTAGTCAAGTGACGACAAGTTTTGGTCATCAATCTGGGCCATGTTTAGATTGAAACCATCGTCCATCTGAAGTGCCTGACTCAAGGCAATGTCTTTCTGGAGTATCTTGGAAAGCTCCTCGGGTTTGTTAGGTTCGTACATTCCGTACTGATCTACATAACCCTGACCCTGAAACTTCTTGAGACCACTCAGAGGATCGTTGTCTTGCTCGCTGTAGGGGGAGGGTGAGGGGGTGGGAGAGACGGGGGCTGGTATTCCATAGTCTGGGGGAGGGATGTAGAGTGGCATATTTTGATAAACTGGGCCTGCCATGTAATTGGTCTTCACCTGACCTGGCACTGTCATGGTTTGACGAGGTTTCATAAATGATTGGGCAGTTCCGTCGTCATATAAGCTGGCTAGAAATGGCTCTGGTTGTTGAACAAGGAGGTTTGGATCTTGCTGTGGCATGTTCAACCTGTTGGAGCTGTTGTCAGAATACAAGATTTAACAAACACTACATTTGTAACAGCTGACCAAATTATCGATCTATCAGTAACTTTGTACTTTCCAGATCGTAAAAGAAAGAAAAAGGTTAAACTAAAAAAGACTGAACTGGTTTTCTCCAATTTTATTGCAGTTTTTTCTTCAGAACTATTGAACTCATTTTTCATGACCGAACTTTCCTGCTCCTAATCGGCCAAGCCAATTTGGATGTTGTAAACCTAATAATTACAAAATCAATCTCTGAATGTGAAACTTGGGGTCCAAATCACATAATATTAATCTCATCACTCAACATTTGCTCAATACTCCTGAGGTTTCTCATGTCCAAGGCTTAAAGTGTATTTGTGCTTCTATCAAAATAAACGCCCGATGCAATGCTATAGATCTCAGATCACCCAAAACTGACTCAGACTCACTTATATTTTTGTGCCCAACAATTCAGAGTATAATAGTTGCATTATAATAATATGCCATGTCATGACTGGTAACCAGAAGACTTTCCATAAAATGACTCTCATAGTAAGGAGTCTCCAATCCAAGGTAGGAGTCTCCCGATCCTATTAGAGACTACGGCAATAATTAATTGGAGACACCCAGTTCAGCCTTCACAAGTTGAAAGTCTCTCAAACAGAACGAAGAATTTAACAAACCGATTGATTTGTGTTAGCAGGCCCCTCTCTGTTCAGGAGAAGGAAGTGAGATCTCAACAGACCGGGTCACGTGGTCACTCAGCTAGGTCACGTGATGTCAGATTCAGACCAGGGACAGGTGCTGGAGGAGGAAACCACCCTTCGAGTGTATGTTACAATACATGCTCTGTTTTTAGAACGCTGTGTTAGCTGCAGCCTGAAATCATTGTATTAGTCACATGTGTTTATGTGATGAGCTTGCTGAAACATCGCAATGAACTTTCAAGGCTTAGTTTACGGATTGAGAAATCTGGATCAGAAACAAATTTGTCATTTAATGCAGTACCTGTGGGAAAAAAACGTTCAGTTGAGGTAGCATTTCCGGAATTTGAGGGTGTATGTTTTGAGTGGATGGTGTTGGTTCAACAATCCCTCAACTCTTAGCTCTGTCGTAGGAAGTGTCCACTGTCCTGTACTTCAATTCGTAGAATTCTTGAAACACCATACTGCTGCACTTTGAGATAGTTAGTTTACATGTGATTTATCAAACGAGTATTAAAGATGAATGGCAAACATTTAAGGGGCGTGATTTAACTCAAGTTTTAGTCTGAAATTTGTCAAGAAATAATGTAAACCACGCATATAACCAACTCATAAGAAACAACCAAGTTAATACTCAAATGTAACATTAATCTATATGATTAAATTTGATTGATTAAAATTGTTCGGTAATGAAATTGGTCTATCAATGCAAATGAGTAATGAGAGACCGGCCCGATTTATTAATTATACATCAGGATCTTGCGAGAATCCGTTAAGAAGTTCACACATCAGAGCGAAAGCATCGTTAATACCAAGAGGACTTTCACTGTCTACAGCTTTATCATTAAACATAGCACAGGCTCGGTCAGCGTTCCTGATTATTTCTATTTCTGAGAGCAAACCAGAGATCTCCTCGTGGTCGCCACGAGGCACTTCCCTCCAGAATTTCTTGACGTCCTCGCATGACCCTCCCAGATTGTTGACATCCATGTAATGTTCAATCAGTGTGGTCATCACTCTGTCCATCTTCAAGTCATACTCTTCCTCAGACGGTGCTGCCGGTTCTTTTTTGAACCAGTCAAAGACGTCCACGATGGTTGACCAATATGGCTGAAGTTTGTTCCGGAACCGAATGAAGAAGCTTTTGCGGACGAAATCCGGACCATCCGGAATTGACGATACACTTTTTTTGGCAGATGCTTTCGCCGACACAAACTTCATAGGAATTAATGGTACATTAGAAGGAGAAAATGGAATGAAGAAGTCTTTTTCGTTGGATGAAGCCATGAATGATATGAGGATGAACTAGCTAACCTAGGTAAGGAGTTGTGAGTGAATGAAAACATTGTTATAGGTTGGGATTTAACAATACCTAGAAAACACATACGTTGAGACCGCGCCCAATGATACTTTCGATGTTGCCGCCATTTCACATTTGAAGGCGGGAAATTTGGTACGCACGAACCTCACTAAATTAGCTGCAGAAATCCCGGAAAACTGGGGAATTCGGGAGGAGGTTATGTCACAGAAAGGGTGTCAAAGGTCTGCATGTATTAACGGCAATGTCGAGTTGAACAGATGCCAAGTTTTCCTGCAAAATCACAATATTGACAGATCTTTGCCAACTGTTCGATCGATGGTGCTTAATAATGAGCGCGCGGGAAATTTAGCACTGGAGTGAATGTGATGGTTTAAGTATACGGCCGCGCACGAATTCTGCTAGTATCATTAGATGTTATTCTCAAGATGTCCCATATTATACAAATGAAACGCGCCACATTCAAGCATCTCATAATTAACATTATTTAAACAATTTAAGTCGGAGACTTAATGATATACAACAGAATAATGATAACTAATAAGTCTTATTGTTAAGATAGATAATTCGAATAGATCCAATAATTCATTTTAGACAACTGGAGACGAAATGGTTAAATTCTCCATTCACGTCTAACACGATTATAAAGGAACTAGCAAAACTGTAAACAGATCTTCGTAATCTCGATACAAGCCATAGAAAGGCAGAAAACTGTTGAGCTTCGTTGAGCCCGAACAAACTCGTAAAATTCGCATAGTCAGGTTTTAAGATGGATAAAATACGCTGTTTCGGCAGACATACAATGAACGGTTATAACTCAAAACAAACAATTCGTCGACATTTTATCATTTGATTTTGGCTAACTGATTTTGGTTGTAACAGCTGTAGACTTGGTACTGTTCATGCTGCTGTAACAATCACACCATCAGGTTTGTTGGAAGGAGGAAGATGGCCTGCTTAGGAAGATTTCTGAGATTGCTCCTTCTTTCCGATCAGGGACTTGTGAATGTGAGGAATTACACCACCGCCAGCGATAGTTGCTCGAATCAGTGTGTCCAATTCTTCGTCACCCCTGAAATTATTTGTAACTTTAGTTCAAATTTTAGTGAAAAGAGAGGGACTGTACGCATGAAACTTCTGTTTTTGGCGTGATGATCTGACCACATGGTCTCTTGGAATTCGATAAGTTCATGAATTCCAAGAATTTCAGCCTTTCAAGGAAAACATTGGATCGGTCATTGTTTAATAACCGATAACCTAGGTTATTTAATATCTAAGTTAAAACTGTACGACACATCTTAGAAAAACATATCTTAGACTTTAAAGTGCAAACCAACCTGATGGCAAGCTGTAAATGTCTGGGGGTAATCCTCTTGACTTTCAGATCTTTGGAGGCATTTCCCGCCAATTCCAGCACCTCAGCTGTCAGGTATTCTAAGATAGCGGCGCTGTAAACTGCAGAAGTAGCCCCAACTCGCCCTCGCCTCGTCGTCTGAGATTTCATGTACCTGGAATCACGTACGTTAGTTCTAATCACGCTCCAGGTACGTACGTTCTATATAGTACGTTCTATAATAGTACCTTATCAGACTATTCAGCATTAGCATTAGTACTTGTTTGAAGAGTTATTTCAAGGGATAATGTTATTAAGTATACAGTGTATGATGTATTTATTAAGTATACAGTGCAAGTGTATGATGGATCTAAGTAACAACACCTCAGATAATACACAACTAAGTGTTGTAAATTCAGCATGTAAATGTACGAGCTGCAGGTAGCCTGTAACTCTGAGCTGTTACACTACTACCAATAACACTTCATCAACACGTCATACTACCAGCTCAGGTAGCCATTACACCAGCACACCTGCTCAACCAAAACAAAACCCCGCACAATTTAAAAATGCCCCCACAATGTAATCTGATACATGCCCCTCGTGAAGGGTGTCAGCACGGCGCCCCCCCCCCCCCCCCCCCCCCCAGCACGGCTGTAATGAACTGACCTGTGAATACGGCCCACAGGGAACTGGAGACCCGCTCGCATAGATCTGGACATGGCTTGCTCTCTAGGTTTAGAATCCTTGCCAGCCTTCCCGCCCGCCATGTTTCTTTTACCTGCCATGCTACTGTAGGGGGTATGGTTAGTGTGGTTGTAGGGGGTGTGGTTAGTGTGGTTGGAAAGGATATTCTATGGTGATATTATTATTGGTTAATATAATTGTTGTGGTATTTTGTAGGTTAGTGAAACAAGTGAGTTGTAAAAGTCAATAAATTAAATACAAAAATCATCTCTGATATAAACAGTTATCTCACAAATTGTCTACCCAATAAATAACATAAAGTTGCCATGAAAATAAATCAACAAGAGGATTACAAGAATCGCTCGAATGTACAATACACCAGTGTATTGCCGGCATAACTTGCAAGCTGCACCACAACAACAGGGAAATGCCTCACTTATCATGTACGGTGCCTTCCGGGAGAACCAATGGCCCAGTACCAAGGGCCGTGACGGTACGTGGTGTTTAGTTCGGCCAACTTATCTACTGAGACCTAGTGGCTTTCAGACTTTCAGAGCCACAAACCTTCAAACCTTATTGTGATGTCAGGTAACAAAACAAAGCACTAACAACGAACGAGGAATGTATCAGGTAAACATCCCCACATTTACCCCTCATATCTGAACAGCCTCATTCTCCTCCGCCTGCAGTAAAACATCTGTCTCCAGCTCGTGGCTCTGAGCGGTCAGCATTCCCAACATTCCACCTAGGAGCTGCTCGTTAACCAGACCATCTTTAACAATAGTCTGCACCTCCGACAGTGCACAACAGTTAACGTGGGTATCTCCTAGCTGGGTTCCGCACATATTGGTCGTGTTACACTGGTAAACACCCAGACAGTACCTGGAATGTAGTACACATTATGTGAATTCCTTACATATTATATGTATTTACATAGTTTTGCACAGTAGTATTTACATAGTAGTACCTGCTTCAGCCACATGAGGGCATGATAAAGAACAAATTACCTGTTGCCTCTCTTAACAAAGTAGAGTCTGCGTAAACAGGTTCTAAAAAGTCACGTACAAAGGTGGCAAGTAAAATGGCACTAATAACTTGGCACTAATAACTTTGCAAAGCTCTATGTTTAAGTTACACTGGGATTAGGCCACTTTCTACACTGCCCCAACAATTAGGGGGCCTAATGCCCTGCTGAAACTGCTCCTTTATCAATATCTTAACTAAAAATATATACAGCAGGTGAGCTCGTTTACCTGTTACCATCAGTAACGATAACGTTGACTGCCTCACTTCGCTCCACCTCCGGCAGTAAGTCAATCCGGCAGGGGAAATCTAATCTGTGCTGAGTTGTAGCCACAGTTTGACCAAAGCCAGTCATCATGGTAGTCGCTTGGAGGTCACGGTCACTTAGTGCACTGCTGACTACCTGGCGATGTTATTAACTTGTTAGGTGATTATTTAATTGGTATTTGATGAGAGTAATCAGATAAATAAGGGAGGGTAGTGACTCCCACGAAGGGAGCGGAGATATTTAGGTCGATTCCGGAATCGTTCCAAACGCGGTATAATGTAGGGCGTTATTAACTTTTTAAAGGAGCCCTCGCCACATATAAATAGGTTAAATGATTCACTTAAACCACGTCTACTATTATTTGTCATACCTTGAAGAGCGTATGGTTGTAAGGATAAAGAGTTTCCTTTATAAATCCCGGATATTGGTCAACCTCCCTTTTTTCTTTAAACAAGTTGAGCCGCTTGGTACACAAGTTCGGTAAATACATATCCTTCCGAGACCAATCAGCTGCAACAGCGGAATTGGTGTCACCTCTCAGAGCTTGATAAGACAGTGGTCGAACACTCCGCAACATAATGTCTATAAAGTTGTTAAGTTGGAAGGAGTAGCATTGTAAATTGGACTCCGTACTCTGCAGCACTTGGTGTCTCCAAAAGGACGAGGTCCGCACCTTCGTGGTCTGGTGGCTGTTCGAGAGTAGTTCTCCGGAGTGAGAGCTCGAAAATGTAAAGTTCAAAATGTTCTGCAGAAATCCAGACGCGTAGAGTTTAGCGTAATTGTCTAATTCTAATGGAGTGGGATATTTTGATAATCGTATTCCCTTCTGATAAAATAATCTGTTGAAAGAGTCGCAGCATTCTTCTACGTAAGCCACGAAATCAGATAAAAATTCACTGTCAATGCTGTGATTTACATCAGACAAAAGAAGGGGTCGAGCTGTTTTAGTTAAAGCGCAGAGATATTCCACAGCATCACTATTCTTAGTCCTAGGGAATGGATCTAACTGATAAGAGTACTCTACAATTTTAGGATCCTCAGTCTCGTGCAGCAAATCATCAGGCGGCCTGATAGAGTCAAGTTTAAACATATTTGTTCCCTTTATTGGGGTCCAGCGTTGCTTTTTCCTGGGCCAGTCTCTAGTGTCCCATTTGTTACCCTGTAACTTTACCATGTGACCGTGACGAACTCCATTCAGAGCGGCAGAACAAGAAAAAGGTATTTTCCTTGCCAGACCAGCCATTGCACATTCCTGGGACACAATTGTTGTGAGATAATTCAGGGGGATCATTTCAAGGAATTAGGAATTTATGATAGAAATTTCATGATATTTGATTTGATCGCACATCGTGCGTTGTTAATTTGATAATTTTTAAATATTTTGAAAAGTTCAATATGTTTTAAAAGAAAAACTAAAGTAGAAGTCAATTTAACTGCGACTGTTTTTAAAAGGTCATATTATGCATAAACAGAATAAATAATCATATACAACCACAAGCCGTTTACCCATGGTATATTACTCCCAACCCTATAAACAAATTGTGTGCTACAAAATAAATTTTTCTGGTGGGAATAAATTAATTTTCAAATAAAAAACCTGTGATATCAACAGAATGTTGAGGCAATTTCTATCGATGCATAAAGCTGTTCGCGATATTTTCTAATTACCAAAGATTTAATTACGTTTAAGTAAAAAGTGTCCATGTTAGTGCACGTAAAAGGTGCAATAATTAAAATGGAAGACAAACCCTCATGTCACGTTCAGCGGAATAAAGCAACCAAATAGAGTACGAGCACCCTAAATATTGGGGCTGTAAAAAGTTCAAGTGAAGGCTCCATTAAACAGATCAGTTGTCGTCTAGTTCGCTGATTAAATTTCCAATATCCAGATACCGATATATTTTTATGGATCACTCTCCAACCGTGATATACATAGCCATCAATATAAAATACGTATCAATACTTTATGAGGCAAAACGATAGTTATAATACTGAAATGAATGATAAATTTTGAAATTCGAGGCGCCACCCTTTCACCGTCAATTGTTCTAACATGAAAATCACGATCTACTCGAAACTTTATTCTAGAAATGAACTCAAATAATCTGACCACTGCACTAAATATGTATTACGTCACTTCGCATTAAAAAATTGTTGAATTGACACGTCACGGCGTCAGTCAGCATGTTAGCCATCAATAAATTGGTTAAAACATTTTGAAAATTGTAACATTAAATACTTTGAAAGCCACGAAATTAACGGGCCATGTGTCCGGACAGCAAAAAGTGGAGAATTAGCCATACTTTCATACATACACAGTTATTAGTTATACAATAAATAAAGACTTCAAAACTTAACATGGTAGCAATAACGAGGCCCAAATTCTGAGCCGGATTAAACTAACTTAAGGTCTATCATGTATATTTGAGAACTTTCATGCTGAACTCATGTTAGATTTGACGAAAATCAACTTATTTCAACAAAATCAAAACCAAAACAAACTTCTCAGACTCGGATAGCCTTACCTAGTCACCTAGATAGTCTTACCTCCGGCGTATCTTTGTAATTCAAGTTATTTAAAACTGTCTGATCAATTTAACGGTTCCAGTTCGGACGGTTTCTAAATTTGCGTATAGTATCAGGTTATTAAATAATGTCTGTAATACTGAAATTGGGATTTAAAGAGTGTAAGTGCTAAGCCTCAGCCTCCACGGGGGGTGTTGGTTCGACGGAATCTGCTTTCTTTTCCTCGACGGCGTCATTGTTTTCGTCAACGTTTTCCTTTTCCGCCAATTCGAGAGGCTCCTCTCTCTTTTCAGTTGGGGTGCTGGCTTCTGATGATCTGGATACTGATCGTCTGGTACTGCGTCTGGTAGGTTGCTGGGGGACTTTAACTTTCTTTGGTGTCCTTTTGGAAGTTCCACTTGATGGTCGTCCTCGTTTCTTGGGGGGCTCCAGTGCCTCTGGTTCGGCTTCTGGTTCAGCTTCCTTTGCTGCAGTTCCGTTCTGAGCGGGAGCATCAGCAGCGGGTTCTGCTGCTGGCTCCACAGCAGGAGCTTCTTCAGCTGCCTTTTCTTCGGCTACAGGGGCGACCACGGGGGTATCTGCTACAGCATCAGCCATTTTTGGTGAGGGTTAAAACTGGGAAATGAGGGGTTAGATGCGGTAAAATATTATCAACAAGTCAGTTCTTCTCAGGTTACCGAATTATGAGAAAGTTTACATTATAACATGTTGAATATTTTTTGTAGTGTAAAACGGAAACAAAAGTAAAATTCAGCTGATATGTAAAAACATTACAAGTCACAATATAATAATAAACATTAAAAGCTTCGAAATATACTAAACCTCATCGTATTTACCAATCACAATGCATCTGAACTCTGAACTTTCATACACAAACACAGTAAAACTTATCATTATATACCATATTACCAATCATCTTCATTCATTCAAATTTTGAAATTTTTAGATACTCATATAAAATTAAAAGCAGTGAAAAGTTAATAATAAGTAAGCACTTCCTATTTATGTAAGATTTCAGGCATGTAAGCTTCATCCAAACTATCGGACCTGAAGTCGAAAATCAGCAAAATAATCGAGATAAAATATATAATTTCATTAAATTTCATTAAATTACATAATGGTAGCGCTGCTCTCCAAATTAAAAATATTTGTCTGTAATAAATCTCGATCGTGTGCACAGCAACACTTTATTGCCAAGTAAATCTGAGTAATCACAAAACAATACCGATAATAAACCATGTGAAGGGTGAATTCCTATATCCAATTGTACAAATACAGTTCTTAACAAAATAAATCGCTGTTAGGTTTCTTAAGCCTACGTCTTACGACAATATGTGAGAAGTTTCCGGTTCATATCTACCAGATCTCTCAATCTTATTTCCATATCCGCTTGAAGTTGGCAGATCATGCTGTTCTCGTAAGCCTGTTTGCTCTGCCCATTTCTATCGTCCTGAGTTCGCAGCTGACCTTTCATCCTCATGTTCTCCTCCTTAACTTCCACCAACTCTGCAGTGACTTTCTCTAGAATCTGCTTCACTCGCTCCACTTCCTCAGATTTCAAGTTTGACTTGGTAATCTTTTTGTTGAGTTTAGGAGAATGAGTACCACTGCGATTCAAGTTCTCAATCTCAATCTCCAGTTCCTCGTTCCGACTCCTTAACTTGCTGTTCTCCTCGCGATACTGCAGCAACTGAGTTTTCCACTCCTCGATATTCCTGCTGTTCTCATGCAGGGCGCCCTGGAGTCTGCTGTTGTTGGTTCGCAACGTCTGCAGCTCCACCTCCCACTTCTTCAGATTGTTCTGAGATTGACTGAGCGATGTTTTCAGTCGGTCGTTGTCCAGCCTCAAGTTTTCTACTAAGTTTTCAACTCCGTTCTCTTGACCACTGGTCCTGCTATGTTCTGATGACTCTCCGTCTGTTGTTACACTGGACCTTAGTTTTACAGGAATGTCCATGTCAAAGGAATTTGTCGATCTAGCCGGCTCGGGAGGAAGACCCGGCGACATAGCTCGTCTAGGGGGAGGCTCAGTCTCGTGATTCTCAATGGGAGGGGGAGATCCGACAGGAGATAAAGTATCCCGGGCAACAGAAGATTTAGCTTCCTCGAACTGATCTGCGAATTTAGCGAGCTCGTCCTCGTTACTGAAACCCACTCCATAAACCGTATTAGCTCTCTGATCACTCCACTGACCAAACTTCTGGGCAGTTCTACTGAACGTCATACCAGCGACTATGGTACTGTTGATAATAGGCTTACCATTGTCGATAGAAACTACACGATATCCTCTTTTGTTTGGATCGAAGAAAAATGAAACTTGGACTGGTCCCTCTGCGGCAGGAATCCATGTCTTCTTGGTCGTAGCGTCGATTCTAAAGACGTGGCAGCGACAAGAATAAACAGGTCTGTCACCCATTCTGAGCTCACTTCCCTTCCATCTAATTACCTTGTGAGTACTTAAGTTAGTATGGTTTGTTTACAAATAACAACAAGGCAAATGCAAAATTGTGTGCCAATGATAATCACGACCTATGAAATGCCCATGGTTACGAGGAATCAAATGGTGGGATGACAGAATCAAACGTGATGTTATTCTGACAGCACCAATACCCTAGCCATAATCAAATTAAAGTCCCACAACGGATCGTGTATTAGAGGCATCTTTAAAGAACTGCTGGGCAAAGCGTTGTACAGACAAGTTATGGGCGAGAATACCTCAAAAATGTGGACGACTCGGGCTCATAGATCAGATCATGGTAACTAGCGGTGAGTAGAGAAAAATTAGGGCAAAGTAATTAAATAATAAGTTAACCTTTTAAGAAAGACGTTGTAGTCGCAACTTTATCGACAAAATTGAGATGTAAAGCTCTGTTAAATGCTCAATTTTGATTCTGAAGGTCAAAAATGACCAACAGTGAGATAAACCAAAAAGTATCTACATGTGTGTAGATGCAATGCTACTTAACTACCATTAAAAGGTACTACCAGTGCAGGGAAGAAGTACAATTGGATAATAGCTGTTACATCAATCGAAGCATGAAATTGGTATCTCTAAGATGTTAAAGAATATATCTTAGACATGAGCATGTAATGGAAGTGATGCCGTTCTGGCATTAAGATACATTTTCAAAACATGAGAGAAATTCATATATTGGCGCTCGATTTTCAAACCATAAACTTAACAACATATTGCAAATTTGCGCGGCACTTGACTTGCATGACTTGATATTCGAAATAAATTGTAATACATCATTTAACATGCAAATATTGTAGCGCAATGCGTTACTGTGCCGCGCCGCGCATCCAGTAATGATTCTCGCTAGATCGTCGAGATGCGCTACTGTGCCTCTCCGAGCTGCGATGAATTGACAACGTCAATTAAATGCAAATAGTTTATAAAATTGGGCTACGGCTGCATAAATGAAGATTTTAGATTGCTAGCTTGAACATAGGGTCGCATTTAAAAACTTCGATAAAATTATATTTATTGTGAACCCATTTTATATTATTCTAACGTTACTTTTTTATAGCATTTAGCTTATACTTTGCTTCAAATTTGTAATATAGATAAATACTGCGTCTTCACTCTTGTCGACTTCATGTGAACTACAAACAACAAAAATTGCTCACCGCGCCACTGTGGGTGTCATTTTTGGAGGACTTTGCCGCTTCGATGTTCGACGCGCCGCACAAAATAGCATTCGTTCCTCGCAGAGCAACGATCTCGATGAGTTGACATCGTCAATCAAGTGCATCATTTGTACATGGTAAATACAAATAACAACGCAACGTGTATGAATGTATAAATATTGACAGCTACGTGTTTTCATACAGCCATGTGTCTACGCGTACTGCGTGACGCGCTTGTTTCCCGTGCTGCCTTCGGTGATAGCTTGTAGGTTTACAACTACTGCAGGACGCGCGCAGAGTTGGACTCGACGATGGAACAAATATTTTACGAGTATCACCCGTTAAGCGATCGCGCGCTAATGCAAGCGAGAGTGCTCTGGTTAGAGCAAATTCATGTTTATACTAATGTTAAATCCACAAAATAATTCAAATTGTAAATTGTGTTTTTTTGTTTGCAGTTTGTCCTGGTCTTTTACTTTTATAACTTACCAAAATGTGCGTTGAGTTGGACTCGACTCGTCGACGGTCTTTACACTTAAAAACAATTATTTTGGGGAAAAATTTTTACGACTATCATTTGTCATTGTATCTGGTATCACGTCGTGCATCGTGATCCCCATCGTCGTTTCACTGTAGAGTTTCTACGATACAGGGGGAGCCGCGCACTCGTGCGCGGCGGGTCATACAACGTATGACAAAAGTAACACACATTCGGTCATATTTTAAAAGTTAACTCTTAAAATATTTACTTGTAAAATATCTGTATAAACCTACAACGCTCTAATCATTGACCATTGTTAATGGTTTGGCCCGGCGCGCGCTGCACTTGCCATCGAAGAAAGCGGCGCGCGCTACTTCGAAGAAATTTAGACAAGTAACATCCGTCAATCTAACCAGAACCCTTGGTTTTTTAAATATTCTTTAGTTATAAATAACAATTTGATTCAACGTTGTATTTTTTGTTATTGGGCCGCGCCGCGCATCAAATAATGCATCTTCATTCTGGACACTAAAAAACTATTTGTTTTCAGCTCTATAGTTCGATAAACATTAATTTTGGTACTCAGAATTGGTGTAGCACTTAATAAAATTAATAAGTAATCGAATTGTAAACAATACAATTATTCCTCCAAAACTACATTATGAGTGATTTCGACTTTTATTGTTCACTCTTAACTTAACTATTTACTTTTGAAGCAGTAAACGTCGTGATATCGATAAAAAACCAACAATGAACAATGAACGACTGTCGTATTGATGCACAGTAAAAAGGTAATAATGTTTATCCAAGGACATTTTACCGTTGATAATTTTGAAATCAGATTGTTGCAGATGGTAGTCTTGCTATCTCATCATTAACTGATCCAAGGGCTTCATGTAAGTTTCTGTCATGTAGTTGACTAAGTTTTTTTAAAAAGGTCAATTGCCAAATTAGTAGTTATATGAACTCGCATGTACCAACTTATTTTCATGCCGTTTCTCACGGATATAGGCAGTGGCGTAACGAAAGGCCCTGCTGACCCCGCTGTGCAGGGGGGCGCCTTCTTAGGGGGGCGCCAAATCGTCGTTTGAATGTGGGACAATTTCGAAAACTTAACTAAAGTACTAGCAAAACTGCGCGTTTTGCTCTAGATACACACTTTTTTAGAGATTTTACCGGCGTATTCTTTAAAATCACCTAATTTGTTCAATTTTAGGGAGGGGCACCAAAAGGGGAGGGGGCGCCAACAGGGGGGCGCTTTTTACGGCAGGGGGGCGCCAACAGGCAACGTTACGCCACTGGATATAGGCATAAATAATGACAGAACACATTGACATATTTGCCATGACATGATATAAATTTGGTACCTCCCTTCCTTACTCGAAATGTCTTTTATTGAGTTTGTACACTACAGAAATTGAATGATATGACATAATCTCGTTCAACTGATACAAGTCACTAGTCACAAATTTGATCAATGCAACTTACATGTTGAAAACTAAACTAAGGAACAGTAATATTTTGGAACCCTCAATGCACATTAAAAATTACTGCAGAGGGAGTGGCAGTGGCGTAACGGGGGCGCCATCTTAGGGGGGCGCCAAATCGTCGTTTGAATGTGGGACAATTTTGAAAAACTTAACTGAAGTACTAGCAAAACTAGCAAATCACCTAATTTGTTCAATTTTAAGGAGGGGCGCCAACAGGGGAGGGGTTGCCAACAGGGGGGCGCTTTTTCGGAAAAGCGGGAGTGGTGCACACTCAATTGTATTCTGCAATTGAATAGTTATGATTTTGTTATATTATATGATAGGCAATATGAAATTACACACCTTACTTTAACTTTATCCCGTCACCCATGGACTTATCAATTAACGGCTGGTGGTGGTGTCATCATTTGTCGTACTCAAAACGTTTCGCGGTTGCGAATGCCGGCCCATCGAGGAAAATCTTTTTACTTTGTATTTTAACCATTATAAAGTGTGATTAGTCGGATATAGTACTGAGTTCAAACAGTCCCCGAAACGAAAAAGCAAACATTTGATTTTTGTTTCGGCGACTGAATCGTTGATGGGCCAGCAAATATTTTTTGTCGAGTAGTGTTGAATACTCATATTAACATGATTATTGATTTAATTTAGGAATTGTATATAAATATCTTTGACCAAGTTTAATTGTTAATGAGAATGCACCCCAGCACTGGGCGCGCGCGGCGGCTTTGATGTTAGCGGCTACAAGCTTGAAGCTAGGCAGCTGCAGAAAAAATGCCGCGCGCGTTCAGCGTAGGGCTTTTCGTTTTTGATTTTACAAATGACAAAGCAACTTTTAATGAATATTAATGGAATTATCGGATATTTATAATTCAATATGTATTGATTCTTCTGTGGAAAATAAAAATTGTATTTTACTTAAAATTGTATTTTACTTATGAATTTTGTTATATTATAGATTGTAAGTAAAGGATAGAATTTAACATCTGTTTCTCTAGAATTTGTTTCTCTACATTATGCATGTTTGTGATTGAAAGACTTCATTTAGGATTAGTTTGATGTACTAAAATGTAACAATATGCCTTACTGTGTTAATCTTTTGTTCTGGTTCAATTCGCTTCTTGGTTTAGTTTGCTCCAAGTTTGCAATTACGATACACATTAAAATTGAGCTTCCTAATCACTTCATACAATATTGAACAAGCTTTTAAACTAAAAATCATAACAGGACTAATTATGATGAAGATATCAAGACTTGTGTCAAGGATTGTCCAGTATCGCAAAGTCTCCAGGAGCATCAGCTCGTCTTGTCCTCATCTCGCTGGAAAGTCTACAAATGACAACTATGTCACAGTCGTGAAGCTACCAGCTCACAAAATGAGTCTCATAAAAAATTATCAGAAGATTTGGAATTGGATAATTCCAGGATGCTGTGTCGTTAACATAGCCTCTTCCGGTTTATGGCAGGTTCTAGAACCATCAGTGTTAGGGATATATTCAAATGTTGCAGCTGGTGCTTCATTTGTGGTACTCCCTGGTATTGTGACTTCTTATTATGCTTCCAAGATACTGGGACAAGTCAAAGTGGATGCTGGGTCAGGAAAACTCATTGTATCCCATTTAGATCCATTTGGAGACCGTATCAATAAACAATTCAATGCTTCAGAATGCCACTTTAAAATGGCAGGCCTACTTGACATCTGCTATTTACCAGATGGGAAATACTTTGTTATTTCTCGACACTGCTCTTCAGAAGAGAGGGAATTGCTGCAAAGTGTAACTGCAAATCAGCCAGGCCGTACTGATGGTTTTGGGCCTGACAAAAAGAAAGTAAGGTTGTATACTTCACTTATATTTAGTGCAACAGCGGGGGTATTCATGTTGTGTTTAATCAGGTATATGTATGAGGAGTATTATAGAGTTCAATCTGTTGAGTCTGAGGAAAGGGTTGCTGATTAAGTTGTTGCTTGATCATTAATTTATTGGCCTATTGTAAAAGTTAGTGTTTTGCAATCTTTTAAATTTGTACTTTTAAAAAGAGTGTACTACATCTTTTTTTCTTATTACTTAAGGACTTTTAACCCTTGAATAAATTAGAAAAATCAAACATTTACTCTGTAAATATCAGCTTTAAGAGTTATCAAAAGTATCTTCGTTATATCTAATTCGTCAATTGCATAATATGTTGTTCATTGAATAAATACATTCATTAGGTATAGACAATGCAAATTATGTTAATCTCTTATTTCAAGAAATAAACTCTATGTTGAATGTTAATTATAGGTAAAAGTGGTCCTGATTGTTAGTGCCTCTGTGTAATTTTATTGTTGTGGTGAAAAGTACAATTTATATTCTATTTCCTCTTTCATAAAACTTCCCAAACCACGTCTGACGTCATGACCACTTTGTCACGCAAACCACGTAATGTGGTTACAGATAAACACAATATTTGAAATGTGGTGAACCAGACTACAGTCACATTAGTGCTCTGTGCTCTGTGTTTATAACTACATGAGTGCTCTGTGTTTATAACTACATCAGTGTGATAGTCTCTACTAGTCTGCTAATTATGTTTGGATTGTTTTAGGACACATGATGATGATGAAGATATCCAGACTGTTATCACCAAGTGTCCGGCACTGCACTATTCTCCGGACTATCAGCTCATCGTGCCCACATCTTTCTGAAACTTCCATTTCTGAAACAGAACTTTCAAAATACGACAACTATGTCACAATAGTGAGACAACCTGCCAAATATATGAGAACTAAAAAATATTACCAGATTCTTTGGATGTGGACAGTGTCAGGCTGCTGGGTGGTTAATGCTGCGGCAGCTACATTGTGGCAGATTTATGAGCCATTGACATTCGGGACTTGTTCAAATGTAGCAGCTGGTGCTTCACTTTTGACTATTTTCGGTATAACTACCCAGTTTTTAAGTTCGAAGACCTTAGGAAAGGTAAGTGTTGATCAAGAGTCTAATAAAGTTCTGATATCACGTTTGGATTTCTTTGGAAATCGTATCGACAAGGAATTTAATGCTGCACGATGTTACTTCAAAGCAACAAAACTAGTGGAAATATGTTCTTTACCAGACGGAAAATATACTGTTGTTTGGAAGGAAAGCAATCCAGAAGATATAAAATTGCTACTGACAATGACCGCAAAAGGGCCTGTTTCCACAGACAGAATGGATCCTGACAAGAAGAAATCCTATATTTACAGTATGCTTGTTTTAAATACCACAGTTGGACTCAGTGTGTTGTTATCTCTAAAGGTTTTGAGGGAGGAGTACAAGAAGCAACAACTTGAGTCTGAGACACAAGTTGTGAATAAAGATATTGTTTCATGATTTAGAAGTGTGTGTTTGTTGAATTGGTGCATAATTTAATTTAGCATCTACAATCCTTTTAAATTTGCAGTTTATAAAAAGAACGAAAGTTTATTTTTCTTACTTTGTGATCTTTACCCTTTAACAATTTATATAGCTTCTTCGTTTTCAGAATGGATACTGTTAAGGTTAACTGTAAATGATATAATTTATTGATTAACACAATTATGATGAAATTTGTTCATTTGAAGGTGTATTTCTTTAATTAAATATATCTTCGTCAGTCTCTACATAGTAACTGAAACGCTATTATATTATTACACGTATTTCAGTGTACTATGATAAAGTTGAGATTAACATTGTATTTCCAGCACTGTAGGTATGCCTAGGGAGATCATCACAGTACAAGTAGGACAATGCGGAAATCAGGTGAGCTAACACTTTCTCCAATTCTAATACCCAATAAACTTACCCAATACTCGTCCCCTGATATGAGGCGGGCTATATAATGTTGAAGGTTAAATCACCGAACATTATTTTCTCATTTTAAAAATGGGGGGAGGTAACGGTAACTTCTTCTTATAATACTCACCTACCAATTCTAAATAACAGCAGTTTAGTAGTAACAGTACATAGCATCTCCTTATCAATATGTAAGATACAGTGACACGCTGTATAGTACTGTGTACAGTACTGTGATGATGTAATCTTTATGCTTGGTGATGACAACTATATGCCCTCTATTTTAGTGCACTCTCAGAGTGGAGAATCAGATACAAGTCTGTAGATACAGTAGCAATTCTGCTATTATATAAGTATCTTGGCACTTGCCCAATACTTTTTATAGACTTGTAGTGTGAAACTTGCTGCAAGTTAGATGATGACTTAAGCTGCTAGCAAGTTGTCACATTACATAACCATTAACCATGAAACATGTAGATACTTATTATTATTAATATTGGAACTAACAGTTCCCTTTCAGATTGGGATGGAGTTTTGGAAGCAGCTGTGCGCCGAACACGGTATCAGCAGTGAAGGAGTGCTAGAAGACTGGGCCACAGACGGGACAGATCGTAAAGACGTGTTCTTCTACCAAGCGGACGATGAGCATTATATCCCACGTGCAGTGCTGCTGGACTTGGAGCCGCGCGTTATCAACTCTATCACTAATCCTAAAGAGAGCAACTACTCCAACCTGTTTAACCCTGAGAATATCTACATGTCTAAACACGGTGGTGGAGCTGGAAATATCTGGGCTAGTGGCTACTCACAGGTTGGAATGTTCCAGAACTTCCTCTTGCTCGTACTAGTGAATACAGTAGCTTGAGCATGCTGTCAATTGTAACACGTATTATGTAAGAGAGTGATCTGAATATTACACACAAAGTAACACTTCTCACTCCAGGGTGAGGGATTGTACGAGGAGATATTCGACATTATAGACAGGGAGGCGGACGGGTCAGACAGTTTAGAGGGTTTTGTACTGGCTCATTCTATTGCTGGCGGTACTGGCTCCGGAATGGGCAGTTACGTGTTGGAGCGGCTCAACGATAGGTAACAGTTCCTTGTATATTCTTTGTATATTCCTTGTATATTCCTTGTACATTCCTTGTATATTCCTTGTATATTCCTTGTATAATGTATATTCCTTGTATAATGTATATTCCTTGTATATTCCTTGTATATTCCTTGTACATTCCTTGTACATTCCTTGTATATTCCTTGTATTTCCCGCGTTGAAACGTACTTTATTTATACATTTTATGTTAAAATGTAATCTGTACTCTATACATAGTAATATTGTGTAGAGCATTGAAGCCCGACAGTCAACAGTGGCGTAATGTGTGTGGCGTTAGCTTCGTGTCAAAGTGGTCACGTGACTAGTTTACATTACGTTTCTTGTAGGAAGCGGCAATTTTAAAATTCTTCGACTTATTAATTTTGTAAAGGAGCACGAGCGATGAGTGCTGAATATATAATAATGTTATATAATTGCCGTGTGTATATGTACTGTGTATTAGTAAGCTTGTACAATCTAGTATGTTTAGTGCACTGTTGTGATTCCCTAAATTCAAATTAATACTATTCAGTAAGTACATAATAAGTTTATTACATATTCATATTTATAATTGTACAAATTTCGATCAGACACAACAAATTGTAACTATTAAGTACACTCGATCAGATAAACGTACGATCAATCTGTAATCACATAGTACAATTCTAAAACGTTCTAACTAGAAATAATCTGCAGAGTTTTAACGCTAACCGAATAAAAATGACCGTGGTCCAATATTGATAATAACATATTTGTCCACTCTTGTCTCCACTCTCCACTCGTAGCATCCTTCAACGTTTCTCACCAAGGGATTTCTAGTCTTTCACTCCATACGTTTCTTTGATCAGTCTCTCTTCATCCCTTCTCTCTTCATCCCTTCTCTCGCTGTCCCTTCTTCGTCTACTAACATTCCTTACTACCCTGGATGTGGCTGTCTGTATTCTCTTCAAGGCCTCTTTAACGTGTCTAGTTTGTACAATTATCAGCGAGTTGGCCAGGTTAACTATGATGTTGCACACACCGTCGAAGAAGAAGAGGTACTGGCAATACGTGGGGTCACTTTCCCATTGAAACGTCACGTGCACATACCCACACAGATTAATCAAGTTGTTGAAATTGTTGACACAAGTCAGCCCAAATCCCAAGATGTACACCGCTCCAAATATATACAGCAGCCTCAGACTACCCTCCATCTGTTGAGAAACATCATATTGCTCGTCCGACAGCCTGGAGATGTGCTGACGTGCCTTGCGCGCTATCAGGATCAGCTGCACCACTACAATGGGGAGTGGCAGAGCAAGTGCTAGCGCCAGTAGATTGTTCAGGACCACTCCAGCTACCTGGGTATTGAGAGAGTAAAGTGGACCACCAGGACTGAGACAGTGCCAGAGGAAAGCCTGTAGAGAGCAGTTCAGCCACAGCATCAGGATGATCAGGTAGGCGGTGCAGATTGTGATTCCTCGCTTACCTCGCACGATACTGTATCGGTTTATCATCAGGCACAGTACTGTCTGCATCCAAACTGATCTTGAAAATTTGGGAATTTATTCTTGTGTGATAACAATATCAACTCGTGAATTAATTTAATTTAACGTGAGTAATGGGTATTGGGTATAATCCCAAATCAAAGATAAAACACAAAAATGTTATCTTTAAAAAATATGAGGTTTCTTCACCTTGGAATGAACATGACTAGCGACAAGATCTGATACATACTCCAAACAATGCCACTATTAGCTGTAGGCAGCAACAACAGGGAGATACTAATAAACGCCATCAGAACATCAGCAAGGGACATGTTGAAATAAAGCAAAGCTGTTGGGTTTCTGAAACACCCGGACATGGCCAGGGCTACAAGGATGATCCCCGCCAGAAGGAGAGTTGCTACTAAAAGTACCAAGATGGGTATGGTAAGCATTTCCTTGAGTTGTAGGATGAGACCGTGTGAGCTGTTGTTTGTGGTCAGATTGTGGTAGAGACAAGTGGTGAGATTCATGTTTAACTAGAGATCAACAACGCGTCAGCAGATCGATAAGCTTACGTGAAGAATGTTGTAAAATAAAGAATACGAAGAGGGCATTTCTATCACCCTACTCAAAATTAAGTTATGGTTTCATATTTCCAGGGTATTACTATCTTAATAATATCAGTAATATATATATTACTGATATTATTAAGATAGTAATTCAACGAATCAGTATGTTCGTACTGGTTGGACCAGTATGTTAATTCCCTACTAATAGGAAATTCCTATTAATCCAATTTTGTCGAATTTGTTGTCTTTATTATGGTCCTAAACTCCTTTTTTTCACATTAAATTTGTACTGTTGGGCTGTGGGCAGAAAAAGAGAATTTTGTCACATTTCGGTAACTTAGCAAAATTAACATCAACATTGTTAAACTTCCGATTTGCTGAATAACCTACCAATCATATAATGAATGAATTCTAATCAAAGTATGATTCTTCAAAATAGGGTAAGAAATGTGAATTTCGTCACACACGTCATTGTAAAAGTTACATACATTTTCTTTCATGTATCAACTGTCCTTATTATAGTTTGAATTGATTTATACAGGAAATATAGAAACCCATGCCAATTTGTATCATATCACATTGAATTTTTACTGTTGGGGCAGGAAAAGTGAAATTTATAACATTTCGGTAACTTAACAACTCTGTCACGTTTTTATAGTGTGACAATGTTAACATCTCACTTCCGGCCGAATTTAAGCGATATCTTATCATCTGATAAAGATATCGTTATGGGACAAAGTTTGCCTAGAGGATGAGACGATTATCCTAACCATGGAGGTTTTATGTAGTATCATAGTGTGACAAGTTTTACCTCATCGTGCCATTTAATAGGGCCACTAATATTTACCAATATCCTCAAACTTCAATGAACGTGTCCATATATCTATTACACATATATTAACATATATGTTTCTTTTGTGAACAAAGCTTGTTAGAAATAGTTAAGGTTATGAAATATGGACTTTTGTAATATGCGTTCTAATTAGTACGGGTGTTATGGCACGGTCTAACAATGATTGTCTGTTTGTATATCCAATTGCTTTTAAAACGGTATAAAAAAGGCTAACCCGACCCTGTACATTTAATTGTGACCCTCTTCTTTTTTACTTGGACTTAATCACAGCAGCGATAATCTTTTCTTGAAGCTGTAGTAATGCAATCAACGCTACATTGTCGTTTCATAATCCTTGTCGCAATATGTACTACCTCGATCGTGATGTTTCTACACTCGTTTATTGAATATGAAGACGAACCCTTAAATACGGAATTTACCGTCGAAAGATATTCTCTAAAAAATGAAACCTCTTTAAACTCTGATAGGGAACCTAGTAAAACCGAATATTCTTCCGAACAGATAAAATATCGCATTCAGTTCGCATACGAAGGAAAATGTGTAGGTGTGTCAGAAAATAACACCCTTGTTGTATCTTACTGCAATCCTAATGTTCAACAAGTCTACATCTATGATGAATCCTCCAGCACGATAATGTTTGTAGAGACCGGACTTTGTGTCGGACGCTCCAATTTTGCGGCAGAATTGGGACTCGTTCATTGTGATCAGGCCATACAGTTAAATATTCGGAATAGGAGGTTAATCACACATTCAGTGACACTGTTAGTCCACAGCGTAAACAATAGTTTCCTCTGTGTATCTCCATTACACGACAACAATTCCACTTCACAGCCAGAATTGGGCGATACTATTGCTCTGACATCATGTGACGGAAGAGCTTCTGCTATACAGCTATTAGAAGAGCGATCATTTCTTAAAGATAGGGCAGCACTTTTGTTGCCGTACACTCCAAACAGTAAATGTGATTTTCCAGCCTGCGGGACTAACAGTCGCCCACCAAAAGCTAAACTTTTATCACCACTAAAGATAAACAGGTGTAACGAAATCTCAGAATGCGTGACAATCGTGGTAAAGACTGCTAGGAGGCCTTTATTGGCTATAAGGTTGGCTAAATCGATACAAGCCACCTTAGACCGGAACCTGTCCATGATTGTTATCGACGATGGACCTGATCTGCATCCTCCTATAATTATGGACAAAATCGCACAATATCCGAACATCAGATACGTGATAGGCGACAGAGAGGACCTGGGTATCAGTGAGGGACGGAACGTGGGGGTCAAAATGGTTAAAACCAAATATTTCATGAATTTAGATGATGACTATATTGTGTCAAAGCACACGAAAATACCCACAATGTTAGACATTCTCGATACAACAGACGTGTCTCTGGTTGGGGGAAGGTGTACTTTGACTTTTGCTGGATTCATGGAATTTGGCAATAATGAGGAAACTGGCAAATCAGCCCTGATATACTATCCTGGTTCTTGTACGGTTAAGAGCGAGGAGTTGCCATCTCATCCTGGTTGTTACCGATGTGATCTGACTGCTAACGGCTTCATGGCAAGAACACAGGACATCTTAGATGTGGGCGGCTGGAGCAAAGAGGTGAAGACTCAAGAACATAAGGATATTTTCGTGAGGCTCAAAGCTGCAGGAAAGAAGGTCGTGTATTGTGAAAACTTTAGAATTAAAAACGTGCACTCAAAAAGTGGAAGTTTTTACGACAGACTGGCCTACCTAAAGTTGCGAAGTTATAGGAAAATACAAATGGAAAATATGTTTCTCAACCATTGGAATGTTGGTGAGTTAATCAAGAGGTCAAGGACGGAATTCGGTCGTAACGAAATTCCCAGAGATGTCAGGGCTAAGAGATCTGAGACTGCGGCTAGCGTTGTTTATAGACAATCAAAGTACATTGATCAGTTGGACGAGCTGATATCTGCCAAGGACAGACAGCTTGATGACTTGAAATCTATGGCATCAATTGAGGATACTGTTAAAACAGAGTTGCAGACGATACAAGAAATAAAAAGCTCAGCAGCGGGATATTTGTTGGATTTGGATCAAAACATCGTTAAAGACGCTGTCGCGGAAGGAGACCGAAGTCAGTATGATATTTGGTATAAAAGAAAATGAAGGGGTGTAGAGCAAGAAATCTTCGGAACTTGTCTCGGTGAAGTATTTTTCAGTGCAGATAGGTCTCCAGACTCCAGAGGAACGTGCCAGATAAGAGACTCTTTATCAAAAGAAGGAAAGTGTGCAGTGCGGAAAAAGTTGTTTTTGTTGTTGTTTTTGTTTTGATTTTATTTAGAAATTTACAGTATTTGGTCTTACGTCCAGATCCAGAAATTCGTTCTAAGTTATTTTGGTTTTAAATTAGCAGGTTTACTATCGTAGTAGTCAGTATTGTGAATTTATGTATCTATTTTAAGTAAGTGTGTATGATTTTAAGCATACAATTATTGTATAACACATATGTATTTAGTAAAAGTTTGTCTGGCACTTTGCGGTCAGTCCCAATAAATCGTCAAATTTAACTGAGAAACATCACCGGCTTGCAGCTGACTGTTTCATTGAAATTTAGTTAATGAATCGTTCAGTAATTCAAAAACTCTAACAATTTAATATGTAAATATGACAACGACAGTAAAATTGTGAATGACAAACGAATATTGCAGGTTCCCAAAGAAGTTAATACAGACATATAGCGTGTTTCCACAGACTGCGGAAGCGAGCGACGTGGTAGTGCAGCCTTACAATTCCCTTCTAACACTCAAACGACTGACTCAGAGTGCAGATTGTGTTGTCGTCCTGGACAACACTGCTCTCAATAGAATAGCTTCAGAACGGTTAAAGATTCCTAATCCCACCCTTGATCAGGTAATCATGTAAATTTAGATGTTTGATCCAAATACGATTGGCAAATCACTTTAAAACGGTCTACCTAAGATTGAGTTGTAACGCGCGGTGACTTAAATTAGAGGGGGCGGTTTTTACGCGCCAAAAGTTTACAACTTGCGCGTCGCGTACTGGAAATCTACTGAATTCATTCCCGTCAGCCTCGGTGAAGGAAAACAAGGCTAGTTAAATGCCTTGACTAATTGCTGTAATGAACAGGTAATTGGTCAATTCGAGAAGAATTATGTATTAATTCCAATCATTACCATTATATGTAAAATTAACCTACAGCCGCTCCATGTGTGGTTGTAATAGCCCACTGTAACTATCTTATAGAAGTAATAGCATTACATAGTTGGTTCGTGCGTCAATTTTTCGGGAAAAGTACGTAAAGTGCGTTTGAATTATTTCGTGCGTTAAAAGTGCGTTTAAGTACATTTACCGTTGAATTCACCGTTTTACGTTTTTTCGTACGTTAAGTGCGTTATGTTTTAAAAGTACGTTAAGTGCGCACGAACCAACTATGAGTAATAGAACACAGAATCACGCTCAGTCATGATTTCAGATAAACCAACTTGTATCGACCATAATGGCAGCGAGCACAACGACTTTAAGATATCCTGGATATATGAACAACGATTTGATCGGTCTCATCGCATCCCTCATTCCGACACCTAGACTGCACTTTTTAATGACTGGTAAGTAAGTGTTGGCAAAGGGAGAATGTTCGTGAATGTTGGAATTGTAACTCAAAATATCTTCCATCAAGACGTGTGCAATATCCCCTCACCCCAATATCCCATTTCCTTGATAGGTTACACTCCCCCCTCCCCCCCCCCCCCCCCCCCCAATATCCCATCTCTTTGATAGGTTACACTCCTCTGACTCTGGATCACAAGATTAGTAACGTGAGAAAGACGACCGTATTGGATGTCATGAGGCGACTTCTGCAACCCAAAAACATCATGGTGTCTACCCCCAAGGACAGGCGGCACAATCACTGTTACGTCAGCATTCTCAACATCATTCAGGGAGAGGTACGCTTTGTAAATGTGATCTTAAAAACATTCTGACGATGATCTATTTATAGATTCAAAACGATGTCTTCTCTTTGAATCCAAACATATATATTACCTTAATTTGTAAGTTATAAAAACTTTTTTAGCCTCGTCTAATTATATCATTATCCAGGTGGACCCAACACAAGTACACAAGAGCTTACAGAGAATCAGGGAGAGAAAGCTGGCAAACTTTATACCGTGGGGACCAGCAAGCATACAAGTAGCGCTGAGCAAGAAGTCCCCATACATCCAAACAGCTCACAGAGTATCCGGTCTTATGTTGGCAAATCACACTTCTATCTCCAGCTTATTTGTGTATGTCCCCTTAAAAGCGTTCAGCTGTTAGATTTAGACTGATTTAATGCTCGTTGATTACGTAATCCAGATTTTCTTTTTTAGTACCACGTGCCACATGCCTAGCATGAAATATTTACCTACTTACTTGTACTTGTGTAGGTCTGTAGCTACAGGCTATCCCGAAACTAGAAGCTCGTAAACAGTTGTTCGCGAACAGTTGTTCGTGAACAACTTATGACATGATGGTTACCAGATCATGACTGCATAATGACACGGAGCTCCTGTACGTGTACTCTATCATAATTACTACTAGAGAATCAACGAGTTTGTATTTTATGATCACGTGACCATTAATCTGACCAACCATAACTGAGTTACCTCTCAGCTATAATCGAAAGTTCAAACTTTAGCATAATCGAGCTGCAGATAACTACATTCTGCCTTTAAATATCGATCTGAGAATAAAAATGGTCCGTTTCTCATTGACTATAATAACAGCCACAGGCCACAGCTCATTGAGAAATTGATCGCTTGCCAGATCCCTCGAAAACTGCGCCTAGTGGCATGGTTTCCAAATGCTAATTTATGAATTGTTACATATAATCAATATTTATATCTAAGGGAAATATTAGAGCATAAATATTAACTCAGAGCCCCCGCACGTGTACTCAACATAATATTATAATATATATAATATATATAATTACTACTAGAGAATCAACGAGTGTGTGTTTTATGCTAATACCCTTTCGAGCCATCGTTATTAAGCCTGGAAAGGGTAATCTAACTTAACTGAGCCGCTCAGCACTCACCTTCATCGCTTTGGTTATTAACTTATCTGGCCCCGGGTGTATTGTCCATCGTCCGCCTCTTCGGCTTCTTTATTCATAAAGCTCAAAAAGGACGATTTGCTTATTCAAGAGGTCATTATAAGTTCCTGCTGGACAGGATTGAGTTTGTTCCATAACCAAGCACATTGCCTTGAGTTTATGACCGCCCGCGCCCTGCAGTCTGCACTTGAACGGTCGTAAATTTTTTTGGCGCTTATTCTTTTCAAACTGAGCGAATACTACCATAAGAATTTCTAGAATTTTTGAATCTGAGAATTTGACCATTTTCGCCGGGAATACTCAAAAATTATTTTTGAATCTGAGAAATTCAGCATGGATTTCTCATTTTCTCGAAAATTGTCCACTCAAAAATAGTGATATACCAAATCATTCTTCATATCAGTGCAATGTGGTCCAAAAATACTCAAAATATTTCCTCTCCTGGAAACTTTTCTCAAAAATACTCATGATCCCCCCCCCCCCCCCCCCAAACTAATAACAATGTTACTTCTATGATTTCTGAACCTCGGATAAAGTTTAGGCACTCTAGCAAGATGAATGGAGGTCACAAGAATCACGTCATAATACTTCCTCCAACGGAATCCTCCGGAAACATCTCCGACGAAGCGGACAAATTCCTCGGCTCTCTTCTCCTAATTTCCTCTTTGATTGGCGTTGTCGGAAACACCCTAGCAGTGTACCACTTCTTAACAATAAAAACTAAAAAGGTTCCATCCATCTTGTTCATCGCAATCAGTTGTGTGGACCTGTGTACGTGTTTATCAGGGCTTCCTGTAGCCTTCACTTGGCTCAACTTGAGGCGACCTGGGTTTTGGAATAGTGTATATTTCTGTTTCGTGTGGCATATTTTCTTCACTTTAATGCTTCGTATGTCAACTTTTCTAGCCATGATGATGAGTTTAACTAGAGTTATCTTTATTTGTTTTCCTCTTCGCCAGCAAGAGAAAAAGATCGTCGCAATCATTTCTTTTGCGTACAGTATACTACTGCTTCTACACGATGCCTTAAATGGTTCATACGTGTCTTCTATCAAGTTTATTACTGATGGACCCTATTGCTATTGGAGTCCATCGCCCAAAGCAACTTCCAGAGTCAAGCTGGCGAACTACATAATCCTTAGCTGTGAAACAGGAATTCCACCAATCATCACATTTCTCAGTTTCACAGCGAGTATCGTGAAATTGAATCTGAAATCAAGTGTAGCTTCCACCTATAGTGGACATCGCAACAGCAAGGCTACTAAAACGATAACTTTGTTCACCATTATCTTCCTACTCTGCAATCTCCCTTATTTTACTCTAAATGTCCTGGATACCCTGACATCGGTATTTTACAGTTACCCCGGTCCTCTGTTCTCTGGCCCTTTCATGACTTGGTATAGTTGGCCTGTGGCTAAAGTGCTGTGCACAGTTCTGAACGCAGGGGTGAATCCTGTGCTGTATTTCTGGAGGATGAGGAAGTTTAGGGACGGTATCCTGGAGATTTATCGAGTTCTGCTAGGTTGGAAAGCCAGGGGTCCCTCAAATTCCGTAGCATCTTGCAACATTCCTAACCAGTCTTCCGTTGTAACCAGTTTCTGAAGGATAATGCTTTATGCCAAGCAGATATTGCTTTCGCCTTTGAAGAGGGGAAAAACAAATTATATCTTTTGGTATTTTTAGGTCTGCAACAGCTAGGGCTAGTACTTTTCTTAAACTAGTGGGATTTCGCGACTGCCCCATCCCTGAGTGTTTTTTTGTGTGATAACTTTTGTTTTAGATATTTGAGATTATTTTCGTTTGCCACTTCCAGGCTGATTAGTATATTTATTATTTATTTCCGTTAAATTAATTTTTTTTTTCTGAAGGAATCGAATTTTTACATCGCCCATTTAATTAACCAGTCTTCAATTATATAATTACTAATATATAATAATAGTTGAACTAGCGATTTATTGTACGAAGAATTCGTCTTGAAGTGCTTGTTTTATTTAATGTGTCCACGATATTCAAATTCAGACGATAGAAGTCGACAGCAGATTGGAATTTGAAGTGAAAGGTATGCTCATTTTGTTTTTAACTCTTCTTTTATTTCAGCAAAACGTTGCAGCAATACGATAGACTGAAAGCGAGAGGTGCGTTCTTGGAGCAGTTTAAGAAAGAGAAGATGTTTTCGGAGGGTCTTGAAGAATTTGACAGCGCCCGTGAGGTAAATATGAGCATGAAAGAGTTTCAACTACCACTGGGGGGTTCCAATGGTGAAAAATTGCGAATCCCCTACCATTGTGGAGAATTAATTGTATTTGATTTACCTGCAGCTCGAATCCGCGAGGAATGTTAATATGATTTGACTACGGGAGTTGCAACGTGGCTTGAAGTATTTAAAGGTAGCAAGTTGGCAACACTAAACTTACCACCTTAACTCCTACACTCACTGAACCGTACAATAATTCCAGGTAGTGCAACAGTTGATAGACGAGTATCAGGCAGCCACACAGGTCGACTATAAGATGTACTCCGGAGTGCCACAAGCGAGTACTAAAAGTGCCGAATAGAAGATCATTTCCACCATACTGGTGCTAGGGTTTGATTATTTCGGATTGTTATTGTAGCCAGTTGGCAGATGTCCACCGAGCGAGCGAGTATGATGAAAATATTTGGAGAATTCGAACTGACGAAAGGTGGAGTTAGAGGTGGTTGGGACTAAAAGTAGGGCAACTTTTTAACTATTTAAGGTTTGATTTTGATAAATATACACTTTGAAGAATTAATATTGTTCGACCCATCCGGCATAATAATAACAGTTATATTGTCCGTGTTGTATTTTAGCTAGCTAGATTTGAAAGACTGATGAGGATGATGTCATGATGTGTGCGACTTTGACAAATTCTCAAATTTTCATGCTATCCTGTTTGTGATTTTGTGATCAGACTCATTTAATCATGAATTTCTATTTTCTATAACTTTGTAGTTTGTTGAATATTTTAGATGCGAAATAATGGTTATTTATTATATGTTAATGCTTATGCTATTTATACTTCATATTATTTTGTAATCAAAATCTTGCTTTTATCATTTTGAACATTCACCGAACAGAGAAACGAGTTATTAAGTGCATTAATTTAAAAAAGCTGTTGATATCTGGATGGATAATGTATATAAACTGATGATTGTTCTTCGACTGACAACTATGGTCCATGACGAAATCTGCGGAAAATCGCCACTTTATCAAAAAACTACCGTCTTAAGTTTTGGAGAACGACGATGTCAAAATGGAAACCATTTCTGCAAATATAAAAAGAAACCCTCTCGCAGTTTCTTAATCTTATGCTTCTTAATTTTATTACAGTTTGGGTTTCTTAATGCTTACTCATTTTATGCATATTAATCATTGGATTTTTTAAATGTTCTGTACACTAAGGTATGTCGAGAAATCCCGCCTCTTGACTGGTCAGACCACACGTACGCTGCGCGCGACAAACTTTCTGCCACAGTGAGTAAAAAGTGGTATATTTGTTACATTTTAATGTTATTGCGCCTTACAAATGCGTTTCGAAAACTCTACCTTTCAGAAGGACTTTCTACAAAACTGTACCAAATAAAATGGACGAAAATAAAGTGTTTTAAAAATAACATAGAAATACAAATTTCTTGAAACTTTTCAGATAGTAAGATAATTATAATAGGAATAATCTGTGCCAAACTTGAGATATCACTTCAAAGACAAGGAAATGTCTCCAAATTGGTGGTTTTGAGTGGTACCAAGGCATTTATCTCGAGATTGTGTTAATCAATTTTCTTTAAACTTTCCAGATAGTAAAGTAACTATAATAGGAACAATCTGTGCGAGTTTGGGTAAATTTCTATGTGCCAAACTTGAGATATTACTTCAAACACAGGAAAATATAACCACCAAACTTTGACGAAGCCAATAAGAATTTTTTTTAAATCGGCCGGTGGTAAGTGGTTTAATTGATGGTTTTTTGTACCCCAATGTGATACTAAAGTGTCTCACTTTTTCTCCCCCTCTGTCACACTCTCTCTCTCACTCTCTCTCCCCATGTACAGCTCCCCTAATTACTGTTTTGTACATTATTAGGTAATTTGGCAGTGGAGACTATTAAAGTATTACTATTGGATACGTATTTGTTGGGGGCTCAGAATTAAATTTACTCTAATGCAGCCGGTTTCAACTGAGCGAGTTTATACTTTTGCACCGTTTCAACTTTTGCACTGTTTATACTTATACAATTTAACTGCGATAGTGAAGTCCCGGCCGTAGGCACGGGTTACACTAGTATTATATAATCTGAGAATAATGGTAGGATACAATAACACTAAGACTTTGTAGTTTATTTAACCTATTATAGTTTTGTGACTAATTAAGAGCCTTGTCCTCAAAGTATTTGATGAAATTGACGTCAACAGTGTGCGTGTAGTTATGTGTAGTTGTCTTTATTAAAATGACTTACAGTAACAGCTAAAGTGCCATAATGAATAGATATTAACAGAAAGTTGCTAAATAATATCAATTGCTGATCTGATAAGTTGTCTGTTAATGTTATCGTGTAGGGAGGAGAACCTAGAAGTTAGCCACGTTTTATGGCAAGTGATAATGGACCGTCTCTAATGAATACCGCTAAATACTTAAATACTATATACATTTTATATGGTAATATCCATCATTATGAGATTATAGTATTTTAATGTGGACACCAAATTACCTCCATTTATATTAATGTACAGAGAATGGCTCCACTGCTGGTTTCTTAGCAATAAAAACTCCGGATGTACCCTAACACTTAACAGTAAGTACACACCGTGTAGTTGAAGGTGTACCCTAACAGTAAGTACACACCGTGTAGTTGAAGGTGTACCCTAACAGTAAGTACACACCGTGTAGTTGAAGGTGTACCCTAACAGTAAGTACACACCGTGTAGTTGAAGGTGTACCCTAACGATAAGTACACACCGTGTAGTTGAAGGTGTACCCTAACAGTAAGTACACACCGTGTAGTTGAAGGTGTACCCTAACAGTAAGTACACACCGTGTAGTTGAAGGTGTACCCTAACAGTAAGTACACACCGTGTAGTTGAAGGTGTACCCTAACAGTAAGTACACACCGTGTAGTTGAAGGTGTACCCTAACACTTAACAGTAAGTACACACCGTGTAGTTGAAGGTGTACCCTAACAGTAAGTACACACCGTGTAGTTGAAGGTGTACCACTGCTACACTAGTCTCCCGGTAGGTCACACAACTCTAATTAATAGTGCGGCTCTAGATAGTATCTCCAGCATATTTTGATTTACAGCTGGGGCTGATGTAGGAACGAGTGTACTAAATGCCCGTATCTCCAATACTCCAATGCAATATAACAGTATAGTAGAGGTCCAGTCCAGAGGCAATCAGAAATGAGTAATTTTAAAATGACCAATATAGTTCGACAGGGGTGAGGGGAGCGAAGGTGCGATCTTGTCGTCAAAATGTACTCTCTCGCTTTCTCTATATTTTCAGACGGGATTTTTTGACAGCGAACTGTTAAAATGGCAGTAGTTAAATACTTTACTGATTAAAAAGGGGTCGGTGCTGCAGTAGTGACGCGGTTACGAAACAAGGAGCAGAAAGTGGGGACATTCCACAAAACATGGGGTATTAATAACCCTGCTACTTCTAGCCATTCTTCATCAGAGATACCACTTGCAAACCTCACAACTCAGGGTCCATGGCAATACATTTACATGGTAAGATGTTGTCAGCGTTAGAAGGGAGGATTTATTCTATCAAATTCTGAGTCACTTATCACCTGTATTAGTGAATCGATTTAAGAACTGCACTGATGTGGAGGTAAAACACATATTATGCACATATAAAACACATATTATGCACATATATATCGGATTGGTTGGTGGCATTTTCAAACTGATTGGTCGTTCACATCAATGATCAATGTGTTAAGTGTTTTGTCTTCCCTTCGCATTACGTTAGAACAAATGATAAAGAAAACATATTTTAAAAGTATCAATAAAAATTAAATGTTTAACAGAGTATCTCTCACCAAACTTGACTTCAATGAATGAGCAGGACACGTATTTAACGTATTTAACGTATTTAACGTATTTAAAGAGCTAATCAATCTTAAGAGACAGTCCAAACATTTGGAATGCATCATGTCTCCAGTGTATGTATAATTATTACTATACTCATATCAAAACTTGACTTAACACTACAATGGCCAAGATTATCCGCTGAAATTGGGAAATTACAACAGGTAATTAAAAATTTCAACTGTTACAGTACATTCCAGGATACGGGATATACTGTAGATTTGCTTTTAGTATTCATATCTCAAGACCATTCCCACAAATTCGAAACGTTCCCAACTTTGAACATTAGAAATCTAACTGAACCTGAATAAATCATCAAACTCCACATGGTTAAACCGTCAAGGACCCAGACCTCTGACTTTTCAAAGTTAATTAACTTCTGAAATAAGCCTCAATATGTTACATATCACTCAAATCGGTCACGACTACAGGAATGTAGCCTAATATTGAGACTTCCAGTTTCCACATCGCACATCCCGAGAACTCAGCCCTGATCTGAGAAACTGGTCTACAGTCCTCAGGGAGGAACAACTCTTCTTTCTTCTCCTCTACTTGTCGAGATATCTTCTCCTCTACTTGTCGAGATATCACCGGCTAAAACAGTGGTATTAATGACCGAGCTGGTCGTCTCACCTCTCGTCTGCATCCTCAACATCTGAAGCATCGCATATCACCACCTTTGGGATCTGTCTCTGAAAAGAGTGTTTGAGTCAGAGTTATATTAAAAGCATCTGCCATGCCTTTGTTATTAAATACACCTAGCCTGGAGGAAGTATATACTTTAATATACTTTAATATACTTTAATATACTTTAATGTACTTTAATATACTTTAATATACCTATATTATCTCGATTCAAAATTTGGCCGCTTAATTTCTTTAAAGGCATCTAATGTATAGATTAGATTTACCTTTTATGTACAGTTTGTCTTGTTCAAAGATATTGATACTTGACCAATTTATGGGCCAAAATATATGAAGTATGAGTTAAGGGGACTAACAACTGGCTTATCTTGTAAATCTTAACGAAGAATATAAATCTACTAATTGTAGGTATATTAAAGTATATTAAAATGTAGGTTAAAATCGTATTCTCCTGGGGACGATGGAGTGAAAAGGTTATTATATACGAAATAGTGGTGTTAATGATTGAGGGTGTGTGATTAAGTTGAGTGGCCGGTGTGTTCTCGGTGAGGAGGTTGCGGAGGGTGGTAGCTGAGGAGTGCAAGTGGGTGACTTTGATATCGTGTTGTCCGAGTAACTTGGAGATGGGTTTGGAGAGGGAGGAATGGAAGGAAAACTTTGAGTGCGTGCTCTCTGTTCTGCCGGTTAAATGAGGCAAAGACCGGAGTGTTGGTGAATTTGTAATTATACAGTATGCCAGCCGCCAGGAGTATTGTCGTATTAAGCAGCATCATTGTTTCTCCGCTATACACGTTGTACACTCTGAATACTAATTGTATCCATTAGAAAAGTGCGGGAATGAATTTACTAAAAGATCCTGCTGGATAATCTGCTAGCTATCTCCCGTATGTAGTAGTATGCAAATTGGGCCCAAGTGATGTATCCAACACGAGCTTGAAGCTTCTATAATGTGAACGCGTGTGTAGGAATAACCAACCGTTTATAAAATTACAGACGCAGCAATTCGGCTTCAATTTAGTCCTCAAACTACAGATGAAGCAGGAGAAAGAGAGAGCCTGCAATAATTGGCGATCTGGTGGTCGTTACATTTAGCATTCTTGACGTTAACAAATCCAGTGTGACGCGGAAACCGTGAAGTAATTCTTAAAGTCGATCTTTAAAAAGTCTTTAATATTTTGTAGTCTGCAGTCTGTAAGTTCAGAGAATCATTCAGGCTAGGACCTTCTTAACGGTATCAAAAGAATGACTGCATACAAATTTTCTTTCAAATGATTCGGAGAATGGCCTGATACAGAAAAAAATATGTGTATACGATACAGAATAGTATGCGGGTATAAAATTAAA